AATGAAACCTACAGTCATGTTGATAAGCTCTGATTATCTCCTGACGTCAATCCCATTACACATGCACTGGAGGGATTTTTCACCACGGCTCAGCTAAAGGGTTACTGATCCATAACCTTAACTGTGTGTTTGTCTCTTTTCTAAAGAAATTCTACGTTACATACTTGCTGCCTGGTTGATACGATACCTGCTTGTCAGTGTAGACGGGGTTGATGCACAGCATGAAGTGTTTGTTTAGCAGGTTTTCCACCGAGGAGCTGGTCTGCCGTTGCATGTTAGCATGTGTCACATACTTCCTTGGAAAATCTTACTCTCTCTCAGGGCTGTTGACATTTGGTAGTTGTAAGAATGAAAGCGCAAAACTTTAAGTCGCTTGCCTGTATGTCGCATTTGTTAGGCTGGCAGAGTAGTATCTAGAATTAAAATGTGTAACAGAGCTTGGAGTAATTTTATTTAGAACGTGGTGATAAAGATATGACAACGTTCTTCCAGGGAACAGGTGTGTGTCGCTAGGAAGTAATTACACATTTTGTGTTGCTAAATGAAATGGGTGTTAACCAGTGACAGATTTATGACTAGAGTCCCATAACATTTACACCAAAAGAAAGGTTATTGCTCTTATTCTGATCTAATAGAATTCTCGTCCAGTTTAAAAGATGCAAAGTTGACTTATCAAAACTCAAAATGTTTGTTCAGAAGTTGGAAAAGTTTATTGTCTAAGCATAAAAATGATGATTGAATGTAAACGGTGTGTCAGTTATGACTCAGCTTTTGTGCTGGTGAATCACTTCTCTAATGTTTCAAATTCCTTTCTACAGTAAATCTCTCCCGTGCGGCCTCAGCCCTCTGGGCCATGGTACATCTGAGTGTCGCGGCTACAACATGAGCATATCTCCATTCACCACCCTGGAGAGCCCACTGACGTCTTCCTGGAGCCCCACCAACTCCTACCCTGATGGTGAGGCCGCTGAGCGCCACTCACACGCTCTTCCTTAGGCCTCTCCTAAGCCTCAACGGCATAAAGTCTTCAATTCAATCAATTATTAACAAGGAATTCAGCTCGTCAAAGTTAAATTCGCTGATGCTCGTGAGGTGCTTGTCTTCAATTGCCTTCAAACGTAACCCCTGACGTCCGTCTCCAGTTGCCACGTGGATGTCCGGCTACTCGAACCGCCTGTGGCCTCGCGACCCAAAGCCCCAGCTCTGGAGCAAGTTCCAGGTGTGGGAGTGGCTGCAGCAGGTCATGGACATCAACCAGATCGACGCCTCCAGCGTCCCCTTCCAGAACTTCGACATGGACGGCCATCAGCTATGCGGCCTGAGCTACCAGGACTTCATTCACGCCGCGGGCAGCGCGGGACCCGTCCTCTTCCACAGCATCACGGAGCTAAAGTGGAGCGGTGCGTCCCAGAGAGTCTGATGGGGGGGGGGGAACGATTAGTTGCAGTAAGAGAGGAGCCGGGTGACTCGAGTTGAGTCTTGCTGAAGGAGCCAGTCAGGGGTCACGCTGCGAGTGATTAAAGTGAGGCAGATGATGGATTTGTTGTTGCCGCTGGTTGGAGTAGGTCTCCTAACAAAAGCGCACAGGGGGGTTTGAAGCGGGAGACACAAGCTGTTTTTTTAATTAAAAAGAGTTTGAGGCGTGTTTTTAACTGGAGCTACTTTGTGAGAAATGTGGCCGAGAGGGAATTAAAACAATAATAACATTCAAGGCTAATAATATGTTGTGAGCGATGGCAGTGGATTGTAATTGACCTGATGTCTACCGTTAATGGCATTTCGAAACACAAAAGGCAGAAGACCAGGCAAAACAGGTTTAAACTCCAGGTCGCGGTGACATTTGAGGTGAACAAAACCGGTGCACAATCCTGCTGTTGTTGCTGCTGCGAGCCGAGAGACAAAAGTTCAGCTCAGTTTCCTGGTGCGTGATGCTACATTTTATACATGAAACTTTTCAGTAGTAATGAACATGGAGACTGGATGGAGAGATCCTCCTTGTTAAAAAGAAAACATACAGTCCACTCTACTCACATGAAGGACAGGTGTTTGACGTGCGCTTTTGAGTACATTTTGCCGCTTGTTTCCCTTGAAAATACAGAACCGTGAGGTTTTAGGTATCTGCGTTTATATATATATATATATATATATATATATATATATATATATATATATATATATATATATATATAAATCATAAAGCAACACAATATTTGTTTGTGCTAAATCTGCAGAATATTTCCTGACTACCTGACAGTGTAACTCACATTATAGTGGCCTAAAGACATTATTGTAGAGCTAAATAATCGCTAATGACACACATTTTATTGCTTGATTTGACCTGATAAACAACTTACTTACTTCTTTCCCATCTCTGCAGGCCAGTGCCACGTGGAATTAGGGCACCTGGAGCTCAAACCAGAACGTAAGAGTTAATTAAACAACTTGTTTTTCCAGATGATAAAGACCAAGGTGTTGACACAGACAGGCGCGTCAAGACTTCACCCGTTTACTTAGATGTGATCTCTTCATTATCCCTTTCCCATTGTCTTTGTGCCCTTTACAGTAGACTTCTCCTGTTCGTTTTCGGAGGTCAGCTATCCACCTGCAGGTAATGTAAAAATATCAGCCGGCTGCCTTGTTTTGTCTCGTGCTTTTTTTAGAGTGAATCACGTAACAAATGAACGAAATCCATTTTTTCTCTTTTAGACTTAGACGTGTACGGTCCCTCCATTCCCCCCATTGCCCCCGTCGCATCTCCCACCCCTTCCAGCCCCGGTGAGGAATGCACAAGTTATACAATACAACAAGGTATTCAATGGAACCCCAAAAATATGTTTTACAAATGAAAAAAACTGAATAAACAAAATAGATTGAAGATTCAACAGTATTTTTTATTCTTTTTCTCAGATATTAAACGGTCTTTAAGTCGTCAGGTCAAAAAACACAGTGAGTTATTCAAACACGTGTTTCATATTCGTACATGTTATATTATTTCCCATTCAACCTGCTTCCTTTGCCAACAGACCCGAGGGGGATCCACTTGTGGGAGTTCATCAGGGACATTCTGCTGAACCCGGAACGGAACCCGGGGCTCATCAAATGGGAGGATCGGGCGGAGGGGGTTTTCCGCTTCCTTAAGTCCGATGCGGTGGCACAGTTATGGGGCAAGAAGAAGAATAACATCAGCATGACCTATGAGAAACTAAGCCGGGCAATGAGGTAAACGTGCAGCTGTTGCACAAGTAGTAGTACAAATAAAAATAAAAAACAGAGCGTGAGTGTTGGAATTGGGATTAAATTCGAACCCATGCAATAAAATCAACATCCTTTATGCACACAAGGCCTTTATTTATACCAATAGTTTGAGAAATCTCATTTCACTGCATTGTTCCTAATTAAATGGACTTAAGCAGCTTATAATGCACTTGCTGTATTAAGAGGATAACTAACTGAGCTCGACCATTTTAAAACACATTTCCGTTTGTTGATTACTTACCGTAGAATAGACACATTTTGGATTTGCTTCATGTTTTCACCCTCCTCCTAAATTAACTGAAATGAGCTTCTCAGAAAATCTCCTGCTAAGTCACAGCTTTACATTCAAATGAGCTAATCTAATGAGCTTAATTTCAATGTGGTGAAACCAACGGGAACCTCAAAATGTGCCCACAGGTATCGTCACTGTGACCACAAAGCTGATTTTCTATTTACGGTCGTGCAGAAGATTTTGCTGCATGATGCAATCACCAAAGCGATTGTTCTCTGATAACAAAAGTTGTAAAGGAACAACAACCAAACAAACTTTTTACTTTCTTTTGATATCACGTGATTGAATGCAAAGGAAATTTTTATGTTTTGTGAGGAAATGTATTATGCGTAGAAGAGAAAAAGTCAAATAACACAATTACATATAACTCATTTCATGACGACCTTAAATCAAAAAAGAATTAAGCCAAATCTTACTCTGTTTTTATACGTTCATTTGGTATTTGATTGAGTAGACATAATAAGGTTACAATTCTGTGGCCCATTTGTGTTTTTTGCATTGAACAACAATGGAAAAATATACATTGTTGGTTTCAGATTTTTTGTTAGATTTGTTGATCAATTGAAAGCTGCGGAATGGCACCAGACTCACACTGGATTTTTGTATAACATTTGCAAAACACATATACCATATGATCTGCGATGAATTCCTTTTGAATTTGTCTGTTCACCTCTTTCAGATATTACTACAAAAGAGAGATCCTGGAGCGAGTGGACGGACGCAGACTTGTTTACAAGTTTGGAAGGAATGCAAGAGGATGGAGGGAGTCAGACATGTGAACGTTTTGTTCATTTTTAGCTTTCTTTGATGTTTGATGCAAATATGATGTTATATTGTAGTTTTCACTGAGTGTCTTTGATAAAAACATGTTTAAACAGTTTATACTATGTGGATAATGATACGTTTGCTTTTCTTTGGTATGATTATTTAATTTCATCTCTTTCTGGTGATACTGATGTGTTCTTTATTGTGCTTTTTTACAATAGCTTCTTATTGTAGCTGCATGGCAGCAGTCAAACCTCACAAATGTTTGTTTACATAATATAAAACATTGAGGGGTCTATTTGTCAATTACTTTTTTTCAAGTCCCAAACGAGCATGTGTTGATAGTGTGGCAAACCAGGGGGAGGAACAAAGCACTTGGGGCGGAGCCCCAAGCTCCGGTTGGGGGAGGTGATAAGGGGGATTTATTATCCTGTGCAGGTGCTCCAGCCACTGGGAACGTGGCACTGGTCACACCTGCGGCCTATCTGGTAATCAGAGCAGACCCTAGATAAGGAGAGGAGAAGAGACCGGACGGGAGCAGACGTCGGAGAGGAGGTAACCCCCAGGACTCACCGCTCTACTCTACTCTGCTCCTAACAGGACAAGGAAGCGGGCGCCACGTAGGAGGAGACGCCACATATTTCAGTTTGGAAGCCGGTTGGAAGAGCCGTAGTTTTTGACCTTTGTTATTAAAAGGACCCTTTTTGTTTGCATTTGCTGTCTGAGTTTCTTATTTTACGCCCGAATCTGGCCTCACTCCCCCTGGGTTACCACATTTTGGTGGAGAATGCGGGCGTGACGGTCTGTCGCTAAAGATTCAGGCTAAAATAGGTACTCCGAGAGAGACACGGAGAACCATGGAGAATGCACTGACACAGCTCATCCAGACCCAAACCCAGCAGGCCCAGAGTCTTCAAGCCTTACAGGACGCCATCACTACTCTTGGACAGCATCTGGTAAAGCCAGAGAGGCCTACGGAACCCAGTAAAGTTCTCACCAAGCAGACCGGTGAGGATGACATTGAGGCCTACCTAGAGGTTTTTGAAAGGACTGCAGAGAGGGAACGTTGGCCTAGAGCACAATGGGCAGGAATTCTAGCCGCTTTTTTAATTGGCGAAGCTCAAAAAGCCTGCCGGGACCTTTCCCCCGCTGACGTAAACCAGTATGGGGCATTGAAAGCTGCGATTTTGGCCCATTATGGACACAACCTGCAGACGAGGGCCCAACAGTTCCACGCCTGGGAGTATGACGCTACTGCCCCAGTGCGGCCGCAAATTGCAACGCTGATGCGATTGACACGCAGTTGGTTAACCTCGGGGGAGGGGCCTCCAGCGATTGACAGAGTTGCCATGGATCGCTGTATCAGAGCCTTACCCGGGGGTGCCAAACGACACGCTTCTCAAAGCTGCCCAGAGACAGTAGATGCCCTAGTGACGCTGTTGGAGAATCACCAGGTCACGGTACAGTTGATGCAAAGCAGTAGGCCACCCAGCCAATCGGACCCCAGGAGAGACAGGCAGAGGCTGAGGAAGAGCGACACGGAGGCACTGGGCCCAAGCCCGAGGCCCCAAGGGGGTCCGCCCCAGCCATCCCTCCAGCGCCGCCCCTTTGTGAATCCGGACCGGCGAAAATGCTTTGCCTGTGGACAAGAGGGCCATATAGCGTGGAATTGTCCGGGAGAAGACATTCTGATGCCTACGGCGGGCTCCTCCGACTCCCCACGGAAGGCCGACAGCTATCTTACCACGTGCTGGGCTCATGAGGGCGCAAGGGCCCCAAAGCTGCCGGTCAGAATAGGGACCCAGGATGCTGAAGCCCTACTCGACTCCGGCAGTGCGGTCACCCTCCTACGGCCCGGGTTGACCTCTGGCCCCAGGGGACCCCCTATCCCAGTCTCCTGTGTCCACGGGGATTCACGAGAGTATCCCACGACCCACATTAAGGTCCAGACCACCAGGGGCACATTTGAGGTTGTTGCGGGCTTAGTGGAAAATCTGCCGGTACCAGTGCTGATTGGGCGGGACTGCCCGATATTCTGGCGTTTGTGGACATGCAGGACTGCTGGCCACCGAAGAAACTGTCCCACCAAGAAACCTGGTAGGGACCGGAAAGTCAAGGTGGCACATGCCTGTGCAGCCCCATCTAGCCCAACCACGTCATCTGCAGAAGGGACAGAGGAGGAGGCCCTGGCCCCAGCGGAGGCCCTGGCCCCAGCGGAGGCCCTGGCCCCAGCGGAGGCCCCGGCCCCAGCGGAGGCCCCGACAAGGAGGGATCCCCGACTAACTGAAGGGTCTTCGAACGAGGCTTTTTCGGAGTTCCCACTGGCAGAAGAGGCATCTTCCACCAGGCCCGGGCAGTTTGGGACGGCCCAGTGGGAGGACCCTAACCTGGAACAAGCGCGACAGAACCTGGCTGTGGTCGAGGGAGAACCGGTGGCGGGGGTAAGTGCTAGCACCTTTCCACACTTTTCAATCAAGAATGGCCTCTTGTATAGGGTGGCTAAGCTGGAGGAACGGGTGGTGGAACAGTTGCTAGTCCCCAAGCGCTATATTAACAAAGTGTTGTACCTAGCCCACTCCCACCTGTTGGGAGCTCATTTGGGGGTGGAGAAAACCTACGACCGAGTCCGGGAGCGCTTCTACTGGCCGGGGGTGAAGAAGGCGGTCCAGGATTATTGCCAAATCTGCCCACAATGCCAGAAGACGGCGCCGAAGGTAAACTACCAGAATCCACTAATACCACTGCCAATAATCGACATCCCATTCCAGAGGGTGGCCATGGATATAGTAGGCCCCTTGCCGAAGTCCAGTAGGGGGCACCGGTTTATCCTGGTTATCATGGATTATGCCACCCGGTACCCAGAGGCGGTCCCGTTACGCACCGCAAGTGCTAAAGCGGTGGCGAGAGAATTATTCCTTCTCTTTAGTAGAGTTGGGATTGCAAAGGAAGTCCTTACTGACCAGGGAACCTGTTTCATGTCTCGGGTGATGAAGGAGATGTGTAAACTGCTGAAGGTGAGCCAAATACGAACCTCTGTCTACCACCCACAGACGGACGGCCTGGTAGAACGTTTCAATAAAACCTTAAAACAAATGCTAAGGAAGGCTATTGACGTGGAGGGGAAAAACTGGGACCAACTACTCCCCTTTGTCTTGTTCTCAATCCGCGAAGTGCCCCAGGCGTCCACAGGGTTCTCACCATTTGAGCTGCTGTATGGACGGAGACCCAGGGGCATGCTGGACCTGGCCAAAGAAGCATGGGAGCAACAGCCATCAGCCCATCGCTCCGCCATAGAGTATGTCGACCAGATGCAGGACAGGATGGCTAAGGTATGGCCCCTGGTGCGGGAGCATATGCAACAAGCCCAACACGCCCAAGCCAGAATCTATAACCGTAGAGCGCAGCTACGGGAGTTCCAGCCGGGAGAGTTTGTCTTGGTCCTGATTCCAACGGTGGAATGCAAATTCCTGGCAAAGTGGCATGGACCCTATGAGGTGATCGAAAGGGTGGGGGAGGTGAATTATAAGGTAAGACAACCGGGAAGGAGGAAAATCTGCCAAATATATCACATTAATCTGTTGAAGAGATGGCACGCCCCTGACAGTGTTCCGATGGCCGCACTAACCACCGAAACCCAAGATCGTGTCCCCTCACAGGTACCTCTGGGCCCCCATCTGAGTCCGACCCACCGGCAAGACATGGTGGAACTAACTGGGCAGTTCAAAGATGTTTTTTCAGACATGCCGGGAAGGACCACGGTGATTAACCACGACATCATCACCGAACCTGGGAAAAAGGTGAGGCTCCGACCCTACCGCATACCAGAGGCAAAAAGGGAGACCATCAAAGAAGAGGTGAGAAGGATGTTGGAGATGGGCGTTATTGAGGAGTCACACAGTGCATGGTCCAGCCCGATTGTGTTGACTCCAAAACCCGACGGCAGCGAGAGATTCTGCAATGATTTTAGAAAATTGAACGAAATCTCAAAATTTGACGCTTACCCCATGCCGAGGGTTGATGAGTTAATAGAGCGATTAGGCCCAGCCCGGTTTGTGTCCACGCTCGACCTCACTAAAGGTTACTGGCAGGTTCCCCTCACAGAAACCGCCAAAGAGAAGACAGCGTTTGCTACCCCAGAAGGCCTGTACCACTATAGAGTCCTGCCCTTCGGAGTCCACGGAGCGCCAGCTACGTTCCAAAGAATGATGGACCAGGTGCTCCGACCTCATCGGGAGTATGCAGCGGCCTACCTAGATGATGTGGTCATACACAGCCCCGACTGGACCACCCATGTAGGCCACCTGAAAGCTGTCCTGGGAAGCCTACGGAGAGCTGGCCTGACCGCCAACCCAAAAAAGTGCCACCTTGGCCTGGAGGAGGCGGAATACCTCGGCTACACCATTGGGAGAGGCAGTGTGAGACCCCAATCCCGGAAAGTGGAGGCCATTGCCACCTGGCCTAAGCCAGCCACGAAGCGGCAAGTAAAAACGTTCCTCGGCCTGGTCGGCTATTATCAGTGCTTTATACCCCACTTTGCTACTATTGCAGCCCCTTTACACGAGATGACGAAAAACAGCCACCCACACCAGGTCCTCTGGAGCACCGAAGCTGAGGCAGCCTTTACAACCCTTCGGAGGGCCCTGTGCACCGAGCCAATTTTAAGCACCCCTAATTTTGAGGACACGTTCATCGTCCATACAGATGCCTCTGGATCAGGGCTTGGAGCCGTGCTGTCCCAGGTCAGAGGAGGAGAAGAACACCCAGTGACCTATATCAGCCGTAAGTTGCTAAAGCATGAGATCAATTATTCAACGTTGGAGAAAGAATGTTTGGCAATAAAATGGGCCCTGACAAAGCTGCGGTATTACCTCCTGGGCAGAAAATTCACCCTGGTAACGGATCACGCACCACTGAGATGGATGTCTACAGCCAAAGACACTAATGCACGAGTTACACGGTGGTTCCTCGAACTGCAAAACTTTAATTTTTCTGTTGAGCACAGGTCGGGAAAAGCACATGGAAACGCAGACGCCTTGTCCAGGAGGGAAGAATGCTATCTCGTTGACGCTCCTAGCCCCAACCTGGAGCTGGTGGAGGGGGTGTGTGGCAAACCAGGGGGAGGAACAAAGCACTTGGGGCGGAGCCCCAAGCTCCGGTTGGGGGAGGTGATAAGGGGGATTTATTATCCTGTGCAGGTGCTCCAGCCACTGGGAACGTGGCACTGGTCACACCTGCGGCCTATCTGGTAATCAGAGCAGACCCTAGATAAGGAGAGGAGAAGAGACCGGACGGGAGCAGACGTCGGAGAGGAGGTAACCCCCAGGACTCACCGCTCTACTCTACTCTGCTCCTAACAGGACAAGGAAGCGGGCGCCACGTAGGAGGAGACGCCACATATTTCAGTTTGGAAGCCGGTTGGAAGAGCCGTAGTTTTTGACCTTTGTTATTAAAAGGACCCTTTTTGTTTGCATTTGCTGTCTGAGTTTCTTATTTTACGCCCGAATCTGGCCTCACTCCCCCTGGGTTACCACAATAGCGTTTAAAACACATGTGCCATCCGGATGTATGTTTTGGCTACTAGTACTGTAAAGTGTCCTTAAGGGAGGGATGTGAAAAAAACACAACTTACCAAATAAGAAACCAACTTTCCATAATCGGAATGAAGTAGACAATGCGTAAAAATTTACATCGCACAATGATTGGTCTTATTTGGTTGGTTTTTACATTTTGCATCCATTGAGCTCTATAGAAAATACATACATATTTGTTATTGATTGATAAAAAATAAAGCTCGTCGTTGTTTTTATTTAACAAAGTCGTGCACTTTGGGAGTCATCGTTTACACCAAGAAGAGGACAATTCTTTTGACTTTTAATTTCAAAGAAATGTTGCAAACCAATCATCAATCAGCAGTTTGATTTCAACACTTATCACCTATATTGCAGCTATTCTTACCTGTCACACCATTGTTACAGTGTGAGACACGGCTCTGTTAACCGGTGGCCAGCGCCGTGCTGCAGGGAGACGGATAACATAACTGGGCTTCGATGGCTAGCGAGATAAAAGTAGTAGCAATTTAAAACTCCATTCTTTGGCCTGAATTCACAAGCAAATTTGGTCTAATCTCCACTAATGTGTCAGGCTTTTGTAATCCTCCTTTACATAGCAAAGCACTGATTGACATAAAGTTATTTTATTATCTTTCCTGACAGCTTCAAAATCCCTCCTCCCCTCTTTCAGTCTGTTTGCGCTGCTCTGAAACACAACATGGATGTCGCTAACCGACATTTGCATAATTCCACCATATGTCACTATTAAGAAGTAATCTTCTAGTTTCAGGCCTGATCGAATTGCTGAATGATTGACATCTCTGATTAGAGGAGCTTGCTATAATTTTGTTTTCTATTGCCTTCTGGATGAAATAAAGAAAATTGCGGGAGGAACAATGATATATTCAGCGACTGCTGCTGATTGGATTGATATAATGGCTTTTGATTGCCATATAGTTGTCTGACCGTATATGCAGCATGCTGGTAACGCCATTCAAACTGAAGTGCATATTCATTATATGCCATTGTTCAGATTCCATGTTGTTTCATAAAATCCCACTTGGTGGTTCCATTTGAGCAGAACTTATCAAGACCCATATTATACATTTTTAACTGAGTTGGACACATTGCAAACATCCATGATATGCTGACATCTGATTCAAATGACATATTAGCTGACGTATTTATGTGCTTTAATAGCATTTATGTGGAGTTTAGTGCTTGACTCACTGTGGCCTCTCACTCCAATGGATCTTCAGAATCAACTGTAGGTGGGAGACGGATGGGTTTAGGAAAGCACCGTTGAACCCATGTAACTCGTATATACAACACATGATTGTTAATCATTCATAACAGACACTGATGTTATTTAGGGAGACATGCACCCAAACCGGTTGTAATAGATCTTCGACAGAGCGAAAACACATGCAGCTGTGAAGAGATACTCAATCCAAGTGACTAACTGTATCAATGTTCGTTTGTTGCACATTGCACAGCTATTACGATAAGGACAGTGCAGACAACTGTCTAAAAGTAATAATCTACTGGATACGGGCTGCACAGGTTAAATCTTTGCCTTTTTTTTTGCCAAAAAATAATTTGAGATATTAGCCCACAACTGTCTTCATTTGTTTTTGCCTGAGGCATTTTTTCAGATTTGAATGAGCCACACAAGGGCTATTTTGTTATTTAAATGGCGTGCTAATTCAGTCAGAAAGATGCTGGAGGAGGAACATGAAAGTGATAAATAAAGATAGGTGGAACGTGAGCATAAAGACAGCTGGCTGGGATTTTGTATCAGTGTCTCATGCCTGCTCAGTTGGGCAATTGCGTTTCCTCAGTTTCATTTTTTCTTATGCAAAGGTTATCTGCCATATTACTTGTGTGCGTATGTGGGTGTGTCCCTTTAATGCAAAGTTCCTAGAAAGTGGTATTTGGGGACACATGTCTGCGTCTGCCTCACTTGATCACGGCCGTCAGAGCTAAGTTTTGACATCTTCACACTCAAGTGGAGCTTTTAAGATTTCAGATCAATCTGCGAACTGAGTCATTGATTCAGCTCTAATTCTTTTAGGAGGAAATATGTTAATCACCCACAGAAAAAACAATTTGACAGTCTGTGGGGCTAAAGAGGTTAAAAAGTAAACAAAGGTGCAAATCAAAATACAAATTTTAAATTCATATGACACAAAAACTAGTAATGAAGTCACTCTGCTCACATCGACAATTGATAATTGCGTGAAGAGGTGTATTTACATATTCATTAATGAGACAGAAACATGAGGAAGTATTGATGAAAAATATGTCTTTTTATGAAGCCAATTTCCTTCTCTGAATTAATATCTTCTTCCCTGTTCACATTAAACCAATTAGCCACGCAAAAATGTTTTGTTTGCACACCCTGTTGCAGAGAAAGTCCCATAGGCTCAAGTTACATATGCCTCTTTCATGAAGGAAAATAAAGTTCAAACACATGTTTATGTTATGTAATATAAAACATATTTGTGAAAATAAATATTTTTCTCACATTCAAACAGTTGTAAATTGAAAACATCCCATTCATTTTTATTTAAAAAAATGCTTGATAAAAATGAGCTTGTGTTATATCACATCACAGAAATCTTGATCTACATAGTAATGGTAGTGGTGCACAATAGGTTCAATAAAAGAAACATCAAGTAGTGAAAAATCGGGCAAAAATGTTTAAAATAGATAATATGTCTAGGAATGTAATTTACATGTATCTAACCATAGACTGTATGAAATAATTATAAATTATCCTGTTCACAGTAGCACTGTTACGTTTTCCCCAGCAGATGGCGGTAGATCTGTTAGTCTGGAGGTTTTGACCAATTTCTAACGCAACAGTGTGAAAGGACCTCGAAGGACCCAAATGAGTTACAATTTTTATGCCAGATCGTTAATCTGTAAATAAATAGATAACGTATTCTCTGTGCAAAGTAAGCAGGTTTTAATTCATCAAAAATGAAACAAAACAGTATTTTATGGTTTATGATTAATCTCAAAAATAGATTTTCTTTTTGAAGTGTGCATTTGTTCCTGTCGTTAGTTTATAATTGGGCACCTAAATAGACGCGTCTCATCGGCGGAGGACGACAACATGGCGGCCTCCTTACGTCTGGGTCGTCAAGGGATTTTATTTGGCTTTAGATTAGCTGCTGCTTTTGATAGATGTTTATTGGCCACGCATCCATGTCAGGACAATGTCAGACACTTGTTTCGATCACCGCGGATCCTTGGTGAGTCGCCATTGTGCTGTTGCCATCTCCTTCGCCAGATCGGCAGCCGCTGACATTTGCTGCCATCGTTTTCTTACCTCCGTTAACCTCAAAACATTAACCTTAATTTGGTAACTGTGCTATTGTTTTTTCTCTCTCCGTACACTAACGTTAACCAACACAAATATGTTTGAATGGACGGTCTGGCGTGTTGCATTTCCACCTGAGAAATGAAGCTTACATTTGACCTCCGATTACGTGAAATAAATACGCATCATGAATGACGGCGGGATGTCATTTATTGACGTTAGCTGCTCTGCACGGGGCATACGAGGGAAATAGTCTGGTGGTTCACGGCGGTTTCTCTCTCATTCAGGAATGGACACATATTTAGATACAGTTTGAGGCACTGGCATTACGAACTAACATTGATGAAGACACCGTAAGTTATCGAGTAATAACAGTACTGCCCCCTTCACTTCATCAGTCGACTAATCGGTCAATTTAGTTTTCGTCGTCTAAAATGTCTTTAGTTTCTTTTCTCTTCGCTTTTTTTCCCTTTGTGGTTGTACAGGGGTCCTTTTTAGGAAGCGGGTTTAGTGGAAACTCAGTTTATTAACCCTGAGATGAGGAAAACTCTGTCTTGTCTGTTTCAGAAAGGGAGGTAACTAAAGCTCAGGCTCAGTCACCATGGTAACTGAGCCTGTGAACATAACCTGGTCGGGAGCAGGTTTTCTTGAATAAACCTGGAGTTGCTTTCACAGTCTCCTCCCTCTGACAGCAGCCCAGCCAATCACACATCGTGCTTTCATTTCCTCATTCATTCAAGTACTCTGTATTAGGTCGATTTTAGCGCAGTTTCCACATATGAACAAAATAAGATGTTACGTTAAAGACTAAAGTGTTTTCTGGAACATGACACGTCCTTTTCTGGACGATACTGTTGATGAAGAAGCGGTTTTACTTCACAGGGTGTTCAACACGAGAGAGAATTAGATATATTGTCATTTCCATAACTACTTGTTTAAACTGTATCGTTTTTCTTTACAGTCCATCAAATATGTACACAACCTCACCCGTCCTCATATAAGTAACGTCACTCATCGGGCACATGCTCTCACGTCCAAGCTCATCCTTTGTGTAGTTTTACTGTTTTGCCTTTACAACATTCTAATATTAGTAACGCTGCTGTGTGCAGAGCCGTGAGAAACGTGTTTGTCGCTCTGAAACGTCTTTTAAACCTTTTTGTTCCCCTGACACAAACAAGTGATGCCATTAAATAGGAGATCCACAGGATGCACCTGAATAAAATACATTATAGGTTCAATTCCATTGTACCAGTTTTTACCAGCGATATTGTTCTTGTGATTAAATATGAGCATGGGTCTGTATTTCAAGCCTGTGTGTAGTGCATTATAACGAACGGTGTAAAAAAGAACGGTGTAAAAAATGTCATTTTCCCACTGGGAATTAGTAAAACGTATGGTTAGTGTGTAAATATTAACTGACAACACTATATTGGAACTTATGCCATTTCTCTGTCTTCTGCTGCAGTAGCGGTGTTGCTTTTCTTTCTAATTACGGGTTCATACTTGCCATTAGCTTGCATTAATATTTCCAGCTCAAATAGGGTGAAGTATGCCGACCGATTGTTTGTGGTTGCTGCCATGGTGAATCGCAGTATCGTGGCTCCATTTGTGCTGCCTTCATACTCTTTCACGCGCTCAACTCTGAGTCAAACTACTCCCAGTTGATTGAACCAACTCTAAACAGCTGTTCTGAAACCCTAAACTCTGTGTTTCCCATTGCAGGGTAAATCAACTCAGAGTTTAGGGTTTGACTCAGAGTTTGTTAAACCTCCTATTTGAAAAGGACCCCAGATGTGTTGATAAAATCAACAGTCTATATGAGTGTTGGGTTGGAGTGTATCCAGGCGAGCATAGCTCAGAATGTCCACATTCATGTTTGGGATGGAATGTTAATGTTAACGGCTCAGCACTTAATGATCAGTCTCATGCATTGAATTCAGGTCAGAAATAATTGGTTGCTTGGAATAATGTGCATGTTAGCGAAGGACAGTATGCTGCCCTTCCTTTCTTGAGTTTTTTCCTGCAGACAGTTTGACATGTCGTAGCAGGCAAAGCACTGGTCTTCACTAATGACAAATGATGGCTCCATTCTAAGCTGTGCTGGTAAAGCAAGCGAGTACAATCATAGGGAATGAATGGAATGCAACCGTCATTAATGCAATTAAGTGTATACCAAGTTTTTCTTCCTAGGAAATATAAAATGTCTGCTGGGAAAATGGTATTTATCCTGTGAACAGAACAACAGAGACATCTTTTTTTAACAGTTACTGGTATTCTTTCATTTCTGATTCTGAATTAAAATGTAAATATTGATGTAAACAAAATGGAATTCAAAACATAGTGACATTGTCAAATATCCAGGAGATGGCAGTATGCAACAGATATCACACCGGTGCAGAAATTAACAACTACTGTAAAATTCCAATTTCATTTACCTACCAAAAAAAATCCCAAACCACAAGTGTACCGAAGCAGCAGCATATCTCAAGGACATAGTCTAAGCTTGGTGTCTGGCTCGTAGAACACAGTTCTAGACTTAATAATGTTAAGTCTGCTAGAAAGGATGTTCCTTTCTAGTTTTGCAATGTCTGAGCAATAAACCCGGCAGCTATTTTGTAGCAGCGTGGACTAGTTGTAGAAAAGCAGTGATGCCCGTGGCCTCCTGGAGAGCCGGTGTCCTCCACAGGGCTGTGAGCGGCCGCTTGAACCCTCGGCTTGCGAGTGACTGCGGGAGGCTTCCGTGGTCTGCAAGAGTGCGAGTGCCTGTCAGCAAGGATCACGAGTAGATGTGTGACCTGCCAGCGGCCATCTGTCGCTTCCTGTTGTCCCATATTGAAAACCCAGAGGCCTTAACCAAACATTACTACTTACAGCCGTGTTTACTTGATTTATTTTGACATTCACGCTGAAGGAAAGCTGTGGATTTGCTTTTTTATGTAAATATCTCTGCTGTAGTTTGGCTGCCTGATACAAATTGTATTATTCTCTTTCTCTCCTGTAGGTGTCAGCCCAGTCAAAGTGGAAATGCCTGCACTCTCACCGACCATGGAGGAGGGAAGCATAGTTAAATGGCTGAAAAAGGAAGGTAAACAAAATTCAAGACGTCCTTTTCCGGCTCGCATTGCAACATGTTTGTGCTTGACATTTTCTTACAAACTCTACATCTACTGTTTAGCAGGTTGGTAGATGCATCAGTTTACTCTACATATGTATCACGTTCACGGTAATACCTCTTCCATCCATGCTTATCAGATGTAAAAGGCCTATTTGTTCGTCCCACGACAATAAACCGAGCGTTTACTCAAAGACGTCACAGTGTTCCGTGAGACAGAGGACTGAGCACCGGAAGCACCTCGGGGCTCTTTGGTGGCTAATTGGCTCGAGGAAACACGGCAGTCACTATTCATCACTGCTTAGCAACTCAGACAGGCGCCTGAGCCACACCATCATTTATCAGGAGGCAGCATACTGAATTCCCATTGGCTGCTCTGCTGTGTTGCCATGTGCTCCCGTGACTTTGTGCGTAAGTGAGAAAGGGAAAATCCACAAAGCAAAGCGGCCTCCCTGTCATTAAAATTCATTATATTGTAGCGTCGGGGTGTAGTGCGTCACCCAGCACACGCAGGCCAAGGGACGTTTGGGTAACAATCCTTTATTGTAGTTCTCCAGCAGCAGACATACATAACCCCACGCTATCGGAACGCTCACTCTAACTTGCAGTCGGCAATAACATCAACCTAGGATTCCGCTAGCAAACTTGACTAGCCCTCCCAAAACAACGGGAACACCCGCCTCCCACCGTCTCCCCCAATCACCGGCCACCCTCTGTCCAGCATGACCCGCAACTCCCCCTGATTGGCCAGCGTGCGGGGACTGATGTGAAACTGGCAGAACCCACTGCTGAACAGGGTCGCTACAATATGCTTTTGAGAGAATCCACAATTTTTTTTATTTATTTAAATGTAATTCATTTATCTTCCATGGAATCTTATTTTAAAGAGGTGTTTTTGTTGTGCCTACATCCCACAGTTCAGTGCTCCGGCCCCCACTCATGTGCACCCCCCTCTATTCTGGCAACAAGTCACATGACACAATAAATACCGACTGCAAGTGAAGGGTAAAGGAAAAACATTTTAATTTCTTTTTGGAGTCCCAACAATATCGTGGTCAAAGACGTATAATGACCATCTCAGCCTGTCAGTGGCAAAAGAAGCAAATACAGTGGACTAAAATTGACGGTGTTTAACTGCCAAATAAATGTCCATTACAAACCTTTTCAGACGCTGAAATAGACCAATCAAAAAACCCATGAATATGAAAAAACAAAAAAGGAGTTTTCTTGAAAACCATTCCAGCATTATTGCAATAGTTTTCTATTCGCAGGTCATGTGTGTAGCCTTTCCCTGTGTTCTTGATACATTTTGTACATCGCCTTCCTGGTAGAACAGAAGTGAAAAGGCTAGAAGTTGCTTGTTTAATCTTTAAATGTTTCACACCATAACCTCTGGGGTCATGCGGCCACGGTCAACACTCAATATGTCAAAATGTCACATTCTTTATTATTACTCTATTCTCTGCTACATGCCCATAATCCAATTCCATTTTTATTTTATTTTATTTATTTTTTCTGCCAAAAAAATGCAAATGTGACCAGATGTTTGGTCTGGACAACTCATGCGCTGCATCTCATTTATCTTGCCTCGTCCTCGCTTCTTCACACACGGACAGACAACCATTCAATCACACCATGCAACTCTTTACCTGACAGACTTGACTTGATTTCGGGGGGCTACAATATAACCAAAACAATCAGAATCCCGCACATTGATTTCTCACAAGCATGTCCTGCACAACTGAGGTGCCCCACTGACAACAGTATTTCATTTTACTTTCCTTTTTGTCCAAGGAGACAAAGCTCTGTTTGCCTGTCTACCATTGCATTGGCAGCCCCATTTCAGTTCAGACCGAATGGATATATAAGCGTGGAAGGATCGAAGCAATGCCTCCTAATTGCCTTCCTCTTTCATTTCTAAGCAGATGCTGATGTATTCCAACCCGCTTATGGTGTAAACCAGTGGGAATCTACTGGAAGTCTAAGGATGGGCAGAGGTCTTTCCTTCTTACAGACATGCTGTGTTTTCGTATCTCGTATTCCTTCCCATGAAACATTGATTAGGCCCTTCATCTGATGTGTAGGCCAGGGCAGATATGTTCTGCCTTAACCTCTTGGTTCCATTGGAGGGAATCCTTTAATTTATTACGGGAACAAATTTGTTCTCCACGTGTGCCAAGACCCAGTAAAAGAGCAGTTATTCTGAACATTATTCTAATGATCATGATTTGTGCATCATGGTAACTTTCACTTTAAGGTCAGAAATGTTTTCATAATGACTGGTGTGGGAATTATGCGCTATAAATGTTTTTATTTTTATTTTAAGTCAGTCTTCTTGGATGTGTCTCTTTACTATTTTAGGTGAGGCAGTGGCAGCAGGCGATGCCCTTTGTGAGATTGAGACTGACAAGGCTGTTGTCACCATGGAATCTAATGAGGATGGCATCATGGCAAAGATATTGGTGAGTGATATACAGTTATACTACACTATACTAAATGTAAATGCTGTGTATTTATGTGGCTGTTAGGGCCGGGATATTGGAGCTACAGATACATGATGTAGCTTGTTCTTTTTTTCTTTCTTTTTTTGCACCTTCAAATTCTGTGTGAAGAGAGTTTATATTCACATGTACTGTAACTGTTAACATTTGTGTGATCGTTTCAGGGTTCCCTCCTCGCCAATGCTAATTGGCTACGCTTCTTAAATCTGCTCTTCCTACACAGTGAAAGCTTTGACTACGAGTCTTTAGTGGCAAATATTTCTCTCCCTCAAAACACCCATCGTTTGACATTTTTAATAGATTGCCAAAGACAGAAGGATGCGTTTTCTTTCATCAGTTGTCCACCACATGTGTGCCGTTCTGATCAGAGAGATGTTTTATCTTCTTCTGGTGTTGAGAGATCTGTATAGAGAAGGAAGAAAGAGGTGGAGGATTTCCTCACAGTTCAGGCAGGATTTAAGTTACCATATTTTAGCTTAAGAACAACAACTGTGGGACGGCGATGCTGTGTTGTTGTGTTGGTTCCTCCATGCCACGCAGAGTGCCTTGACTGATAACACAAAATGTTCCTGTAGCCGTGTCATTTTGGACATGCTCGCATTCTGGCGAGGCTCGAGTGGAGTCTGATTAGGTAATGTGTCCGCTTGTGAAACCTGAACAGAAACAAACCATCCAGAGCTCTTCTGCTTCAGCAACTCCAAATCACAAATGGCCTCACCGGTGCATCGTTCCTGAACAATACAAAATCTTTTTCTACACGTGCGGCATAGAGCTGGTGAAATATAACAATTAATTACATGAGGGACAGTGTCAGTTATACAATACATGATTGTATTTGCCCCCCCCCCTCTTTTTCATTTGGCTGGCTCCCCTTGGTTCACACCCCCTTACTCCCACCTTGCCCTTTGCTACTGGGGGGAGGAGGTATTTTCCATAGCACCCCCCCAAAAATGGGGGGTAGGGGCTTTTGACCCGAAGCTGCCAGAGAAAGAGGGTGTCCCCCCCCCCCCCCCGAGCTGCTTCTCCCACTCCCTATTACAGAGTATGTTTATAGTTGATAATAAAAACAGGAGCTGATGGCAATATCCCTGAGATTTCCTCTGTAGTATGTTGCACGGAGGAATGCGGCATCCACTTAGTCGGGGGGGGGGGCACAATGTGTTGGGTCTTAAAAGTGTAATTGTGGCTTGCCAAGCACCCGGAGGGTTTCTAATTCAGAGGCTACGATAATTACCCGCCTGCGGGCCAAATGCCCCGACATGCTGCATGCCTGGAACTTTCATTACTGCATCAGGTTATTGATGGGGGGGTCAAGTACGGCTACGGCCCTCAACCAATTTCCAACCACGGCTCTTGGGGGCTGCAAGAACTGGGGATATATTCCTGCTCATATTGGGACTTGGATGTTGGGGGTTGGAGCAGCGGCACTGAGAACACAGATTACTGTATCTCATTACGCCCTTACTGTGTTGCTCTAACCTGACAATCAGCCGCAGGTACAATCAATCACAGCCTGTGGAAAACGACACACATCTGTCTGCAGACACACAATGGAGATGCCCAGGGTGTCTTGAGTGTCTCGGAATATCTATAAAGGGGAACGCCACTGCGCTATAGAAGGAGAATACTGATCTACACAGAGGTGTAGTAAGATTATTGGGGGGGAAAAGAGTGGAGAGCAAAAGAAGAAAGAAAATGGAATAAATGAAGGTATCTTTTCTTTGACAAAAGCTTTCACGGTTCAAACCTGAAAATTGTGCAACATTGTTGCATTAACATTGCAACATTGTGCAACATTGTACATCAGCCAACATTGGCTGATTTAATTGAAATGAAAGGGAGTGTTTATACGCGTTCAGGCCAAGCTTATTGTAACAAAGCTGTTCATAGCCGCAGGGTGCGTGTACGGCCAGCTGTATGATAACAGTTTTGAGATAAGTGGGTTAAACCTACTAAATGGTCCAGTCGGAATTAGTTATTCTCATTAGCGTAGCTGATGGGCTCTGGAGAAGTCCCCTAAGAGACTTATTTGAGATCCGTTAGACTTTTCACTGTTCCAGTGTTGCCAGAGGAAAGACTGAAGACTCTGACTTTGAGCTTTAGAGAAAACCAGGGAGACGCGTGTTTCATGTTTATCCACTTTGTCCTGTGGCTCAGTGGGCTGCTGCTGGTGTGGACATCACCGGACACAACGTGAAATAATATTACTTCATATTAACAATGTAGTAAACACCAGAATGCGCAGATTAGTCTGGTCTCCTAGAAATTGTATAGTAGTTTCATGCTGAACACTGTGCAGCTTAAATCGAATTTAATATGCTGCTTGCTTTTCCGCAGCAGCTCTTTGAGCATGAAGTGAAAGCAGCCTTTCATCACACAGCATCACGATCCTTCCCACAGGTTTCAGTGTGTTCTAAAACCATTTGATGGCAGTGTTGAGCCCTACACTACTGCAGTGTACTAGGCCTTTACTGCGTGTGTGTGTGTTCCTCAAATGCCATGTGCCACAGATGCAGCTTGTGATTAAAATCTGGCTTTTAATTTATTTCGTCTTGGTTTTTAAAACCTTCACTTTGACTTTCACTTTCATTTGCCTGATAGCCACAATTTGGACACTTGTTGGGGACCGATTTATTTTATTAATCCACTCCACATTGTGTCAGTAAGCTCACTCAGGGTTCGTACGGTCATGGAAAACCTGGAAAAGTCATGGAATTTTAAAATGGTCATTTCCAGGCCTGGAAAAGACATGGGGGGGGGAGAAAACAAAAAAGTCATGGAAATTTGTTACGACAAACACAAAGCCGGGACGAGCAGAATGTAAGTAATGTGGAGGAAGAACATTAGATATTTCAAACATGGCAGAGCGCCATTAACGAGCCGTGCTGTAGGAAGCAGACATCAGTGCTGCTAGCGAAGCTACTACAGGAACCACATAACAGGGCGACTGTAGCGAAGCTACTACAGGAACCACATAACAGGCCGACTGTAGCGAAGCTACTACAGGAACCACATAACAGGGCCACTGTAGCGAAGCTACTACAGAAACCAGATAACAGGGCGACTGTAGCGAAGCTACTACAGAAACCAGATAACAGGGCGACTGTAGCGAAGCTACTACAGGAACCACATGACAGGCCGACTGTCGCGAAGCTACTACAGAAACCAGATAACAGGGCCACTGTAGCGAAGCTACTACAGAAACCACATAACAGGGCGACTGTAGCGAAGCTACTACAGAAACCAGATAACAGGGCGACTGTAGCGAAGCTACTACAGGAACCACATGACAGGCCGACTGTCGCGAAGCTACTACAGAAACCAGATAACAGGGCCACTGTAGCGAAGCTACTACAGAAACCACATAACAGGGCGACTGTAGCGAAGCTACTACAGAAACCAGATAACAGGGCGACTGTAGCGAAGCTACTACAGGAACCACATGACAGGCCGACTGTCGCGAAGCTACTACAGAAACCAGATAACAGGGCGACTGTAGCGAAGCTACTACAGGAACCACATGACAGGCCGACTGTCGCGAAGCTACTACAGAAACCAGATAACAGGGCGACTGTAGCGAAGCTACTACAGAAACCAGATAACAGGGCGACTGTAGCGAAGCTACTACAGAAACCAGATAACAGGGCGACTGTAGCGAAGCTACTACAGAAACCAGATAACAGGGCGACTGTAGCGAAGCTACTACAGGAACCACATAACAGGACCACTGTAGCGAAGCTACTACAGGAACCACATAACAGGGCCACTGTAGCGAAGCTACTACAGAAACCAGATAACAGGGCGACTGTAGCGAAGCTACTACAGAAACCACATAACAGGGCGACTGTAGCGAAGCTACTACAGAAACCACATAACAGGGCGACTGTAGCGAAGCTACTACAGAAACCAGATAACAGGGCGACTGTAGCGAAGCTACTACAGAAACCAGATAACAGGGCGACTGTAGCGAAGCTACTACAGAAACCAGATAACAGGGCGACTGTAGCGAAGCTACTACAGGAACCACATAACAGGGCCACTGTAGCGAAGTTACATGTTAAAAACCGAGGGCGCAGCGACGTTCTTTCGGTGTTTTTTGTCATTGAGCTGCAGACACGTGACTTATTTTCTTACACAAATGACAGGAGATCCTTTTAATTATTTTTGTTTTGTCTTTATTTTACGCGGCAAAGCATCAACTTAAAATACAATTAATGCATTCTGTCACACGGTAGATGAACGATATGCTCTCGTGCCTCATGCAGCTCTTCTGCGTGGCACCTTCTGCAATCATGACGTCAATACAATACGTTTTATAATTATTGTTTTAGCACCGGTATCAGGAAAAACAATACTCCTCCATAGTGAATAATTGTAAAAATAAAAAAAAACAGACTTTCTTGGGGCCTAATTGAATGGTATAGGAAACACCGTGGATGCCTTGGAATTCTCATTGTTAGTTTAAATACTACATTTTCTCACTTTTTCATGTATATGTCAAGATTTAACAAAATACTTGGTCAATCCAATGTGTATGGACCCTGTACCTGTAATGTGCCTTACAAAGTGCAGCTCCATGCTTTTTGTTAGGGTTAGCAAGTTAGTTGGTATTTGTTGTCACGGATATGGCTTTTGGTGTCTTTAGGGGAGTGTTCTCCCATTAATTACTGTCACAACAACATATCAGTGGTGCCACCAATTAGAAAAATATACATACTACTTTTTTTGTATATTTTTGTCCATAAACAAATGTTGAATACTATTATCCAAATATGACAGTGCTTTACAGTGACAACGTCCTGCAACAGAATGAGCTTTGAAGTGCAGCTCTTCGTAACAGTGGTTGCAGGTTTTTGATTTTTATTTAGTAATCCAGCGAGAGGAATAGGGTCAATGGTAATTTACTAATGCAATTTAATTTGCACCTATTATATGAAATAACAATTTGTAATCAAGTTTATTATGTTTTGGCTGATAAATTCTTATTTTTCAATTACAACCTCATGGTTAATTAAGCCATTTCTGGCTGTTCTTTCTTCTTCCCCCTGCTTTTCTCTTGTAATATCGAGCCACACCATCACAAGGCAGCTCATTAAGCAGATACCTTTGGAAACCGGGTTGGTGTGTCAGCCCAACCCCATGCATTGGGTCTGGCCTTTCATTTAAGCTAATCAATATTGACTGAGGAGCAACACCTCGCACAGCTTGGGAAGAGTAGCAAGAGGCTTGAAGCGGATTACCCTGTGAATCAATTTGTTGTACGCCAAGAACTTATTCCTGCACAGCTTGGTTTTTCATGAATTGTCAGTTAAACAGGGGAGCAAATGGAAGAAGGGAAAGTGATGGGAATGAGAAGATGTCCTGTCAAAATGTATGCATGGACCACTGGTCCACTAATTCAGTATCATTTTCCCATCATCAGTTTTTCATACAATATCTGTGACCTTCTTTTAAGTATGTCTCTCACACTCTTCATAGATGGAGGAGGGAAGTCGGAATGTGCGCCTGGGCACTCTCATTGCCCTCATGGTGGAGGAAGGGCAGGACTGGAAGCACGTTGAGGTCCCCCATCTAGATGCTGCAGGTCCACCTTCGACGGATGCAGTTGTGCCCCCTGCTGCTCCCTCTCCAGCCCGTCCGCCAAAACCAGTCGTGTCAGGACTGTAAGTGTTGCCTTCCATATTTTAGCTTTTTTAAATTCATTAAACCACGGTCACTGCATTCACTTCTCTGGCTAATCTGAGGATAATAGAGGGTCAGAGCTTCTGGGGAGCCATGATCAGTATAATTCTATCTATGAATAAGATTATGTTTTTAAAGGTAGATATCAATGAATAACCAGTGGTACCGTTAAACACCGCAATGTCACAAACTGTGTGTTGTTTGATGGGACTGCAAAGCTCAGAAAAGACGTAACAAGGATGAAAATGCATGGCTTGTTTTTTTTCTATAACGGTTCATAAAAAGGACAGTATCTGAAATGTCTCGGCAATTGAAACAATCTGGTTTAATTGTGATCCTTAATACAAAACTATACGGTAAATGTGCTGCCTTCCTCATCCAGGTTACGTCTGAGTCCAGCAGCAAGACATATCCTCAACACCCATGGAGTTGACGCAAAATTAGCCACACCCACTGGGCGAAGAGGACTTATCACCAAGGAGTGAGTATGAACGACTGGGTTGGCTGTATTGGTGATTTGGCAGCAGGAGGTGACGGTTTAGTCACAGGTCTCAGGGAACAGATTGGAAGGGTTCCCTCGTGTCCAATGTATGGCCCAAAATATCTGCGTAAAAGAGATGTCAGTTGGAGCAAGGATTAAGATTTCTGGTACTTTAATCTTGTTGTGTGGCAAATTCACACTCCAGAAATCTGTACACACACACACACACACACAGCTCTAATGGTGACCTGCTGTCAATAGGGACCTGATTGAATACTCCCGTTACCCATCTAACACTCTGGGGAATCTCATTAAGCAACTCTGATCGCCATGGCAACTCAGTCTCCAGGACCGACTGGTGACCATAGAAACGCGGGCCGTGTGTGTTCAGAGGCAGCCACAGAGATATGAAGCTTTATAAACCAGACACAGAAAAGATTAACATAAAATTCAGCAGCCCCTTTTCTTTTAATGCACACATATGTAGCAAAAAATCTTATTTGCAAACATCCATTTTTTAAATTCCAATTAGAAGTGAATTTAACATCTTTACAGTCTTATATGCCCTTTTTCAAGAAAATATTTTTTTCTTGACTTTTCTTTAATAGCAAGAACTCTAAAGATGTAATTATCCAGGTTAATGAATGCATGCTCTGTGTGTTACTTGATTGTTCAAGTTTAAACTGTTTAATTAGTACTGCAGTTTTAATTTTATCCCAATCATTAGATGTGCACAATGGCTCAGTACTCTCCTTAAGCCATTTGTTCATCTCAAGATTGGAATTAATTGTTTGCCAAATTCCTCACTGACACCTGGGCTTAGATCTAATAGGTCCATCTAAAAAGTAAGAGTGTAAGAAATTGAATGATGAATGATGTGCGGTTCGAAATAGTTTGCATGCCATGCCGAGAACTATAAAGAGCTTCACTTTTAGGCGTTACCTAGTTTGGAAATGAAAGTGTGTTGTTGCTTCTGGCTTTTCCTTTTGAGGAGTGCATTTTTGGGTTGTTCAATACTTTACTTCAGGAATGGAAAGTGACAAATACATTAGTGATATTCAGGGTATCCAATATAACAACAACAATAAAACATCTTCAAAATTCCAACTTCAACTTTCAAAAATAAAACCACAATAAAATCTAGGATAAGTTGTGATGTTTACTATTCTCTCATATAGCTGCTTGTTCAAAAGGTTGGAAATCAATTGGCCAGTTTGTTTTCATGACATCAAGTTAGCCAGTGACAACTATGATCAAGCAGACCTTGGGCAAAGAAGATAAATGGCTGGCATGAAAGGATGTTGTTAGGTCATGGTCTATTGAGCAGGGCTTGAAAGAAGAATGTATTTGGCACATGTTAGGAAGTTAATCGATGCCAACCTTTTCTGTATATGTGTGATCGAGCCGTTGCCTTTTAAGCAATATCTCTTAGATGTGTTCAATTTGAAGCGTCAGATTAACTGAACCTGAGGACCAGCTACACATATAGTGAGACTAAACAGTTCTGTTCTTGTTGGAAATCCAATCTCCTTGTCAAGAATAGTTTCACATTCAGCTCAACTGCTTCTAGAGAGGGCAGAATAGACCTGATTTCCCTTCTTTTGTCCTTTGGCAGATGAGATACGGCTGAAACGAGGGAGCAGCGCCCCTCCCATTCTAATTTGGGCTCTATTGAGGCCCCCCTATAGGGGGCATGAATAGCAATCTTCATAGCATGTTACATAATCCGTAGCAAGGTTTAAAACCCCTCCTGATTTCAAGTATCAAACATATAGTACTATTATTATAGAACATTAGTTCAAAGGCAACACCCATTTTGAGATATTAACAAGGAAGCCTGTTAACTGTATGCCGTGGGCCTCAAGTCTATCATGAATAAATATTCAGTATCAACATATGAAATGTATGCTCTTTTTTTTTTCTTAATTGTTCAAAAAGTTCATATTACTATTACACAATTCTTTAGACCGAGGACTTTGGCTGAAGTTAAAACATAATCAGAAGTCACAAAAAAATGAATACATTACATGAATATTACAGGTAAAACCACAGTGACATATAATTTTTGTGTCATATTTGTGTGTTGCTATGTTTTGTAAAATTGTTTCAAAAGCACATCTTGCTGCAACACTTGCAAAACTTACGACTAACAGGAAGTTGAAAGTTGGAGTTGAGGGTAAAGCACTGGTCAATTTCTCTTTTTTCACCACAAAAAAAAACATGATTGAAAAAAGAATTCCGGTTAGCTGGGGTATTTCCATGTTGCCTCAGTCGTTCTGCAAACAAATCAGTAAGCGAGAGGGAGGGAGGGAGGAGTTGGGGGGCGAGAGGAAATCATAAGATGCAGCTGAGCAAGGGACGCAGCTGTGGGGCCCAGACGGTTCCTGAGGTCAGACGCAGGTGGTCCAGACAAAGGACTGGATTTGTGCGGGTAGGTGGACCCCAGGGCACAGAACTGGAACCAGAGCGCTTCCAGCTTGTGCACCTGATACCTGCCCCTCCCTGCTCTTTTGCTGCTAAGAACAAAATGAAGGGGGGAAGAAAATCCAGGGCAGATCTTTCAGTATGTTTTGATTCCTTCCATTTTTTTAATCTTTCTGTTTTCCCTGTTGAAGTCAAAATCTCACTTCCTCTACTATATGTAGTAAACCGCTTTAAATAGACTTACTAGAAATATGCTATATGTGTAAAATGGTGCTGTCCAAGAATAAAATGCTCAATATCACATTAAACAGGCTAGTTCATTATTATAATTCAATTTTTTTATTTCCAACCGTAAGGTAGAAACATTTTAAAAAGCTTTGGGATGATATCAAAGTGTAAAATCCCCCCTCATATGAGCTGTAAAATGTCTTTTAATCGGACAGCCGTCCCTCTGTAAAGATGCTGTTTGTAGAGTAGTGATGTTCGCTGTGGTAAAGCTAATAAAGCCGCGGTTTGGAATAACAACGTCCTCGGCTGCAACTGACACCCCAGTCCTGCCTCGCCCATCATTATGGGGTCTGTTTGTGCCTAGCAAGTTATTCTCCCGACAACCATCCACTGGAGGATACCTGCAAGGTGTCCCTCTCCACGAGCCCGACCCAAATACCCACCGAATAAATCTTAACGTGCTCATTAGGAGATGTATCATTATAAGCTGTGGCATGGTTTTCTTTTCCATTTTTTCAGTTTAGCTTAAAAAGGTCAAAGCAAAGGGCAAAAAATGACAGCGCTTTTTGTACAGAAGAAAAAACAAGCCAGTTCACAACAGAGATGGACCCAAATAATATTGACACTAAAACATTATTTTAGTAGGAAACATATTTCGGAAAAGGCCGGGTTAGGGTTATGTTGCATGTAAAATAAACAGGTTAATGGGTCTTTACACATGTGTTTTTGTTTTTACTTTACCAGAGATGCGTTGAACCTCCTCAAGAAATCTCCTGTCCCGAAACCGGCTCGAGCCGCGGCCGCCCCGAGGCCGGTCCCCTCCCCGGCGTCTACGCCTCCGCCCTCAGGCAGCAGACCCAACATACCTCCTCTCTCCGTACCGGGGAAACCAGGAGCACCGGTGAGCACTTTCGTCTGTCCGTCCCTCTCTGTCACTGACACCTTTCCAGCCGTTAAATCCCAACAAGCTTTTCAGTGACATCCCATCCCCTTTTTTTGATTGATTTGCAACTGAAGAAATGTCTGACAATCACTCTTGTCCCCTTTCATTCCCCCGTTTCTTACCCGAAACTCCCTGTTCAATTACCCCCCCTCGACCCCCCCCACCCCCCCCACCGCTTCCCCTCCATGTATCCTCTGTAGGGCACTTTCACAGAGATCCCAGCCTCGAATGTTCGCCGTGTGATTGCTCAAAGACTGACTCAATCGAAGACCACCATCCCCCATGCGTATGCCTCAGTGGACTGTGACATGGCCGCCGTCATGCACCTCCGCAAAGACTTGGCCAAAGGTGAAATGCCACAACTGAGAGGGGGGGGGGGGGGTTGTACGCATCAGCAATGTTCTGTTCATGCTCATATTAGTCTATTGCCCTGCAGCCGTGTCGATTTCAGGGTTTTTGCATGACCGCTCCCATGACAAATGAACTCGCTCTTTTGCATGTAAAAAAAAATCTCTGGTACATGTTGTCATCTGATTCACACTAATCCTCCTCGCCCACGGAAGCTGTTTGCATTCATATACTTCCTTTCTGCTTTAAAGAGTGCGATACTCTTCCACAGTAATCACTGTTTTCAATTGCTTCTTTAGTGTGTTTGCATCTTGTGTTATGCAGTGGCAAAATGAAATGTAAATGGGTGGGAGAGCACTTGGTTCATCCATACAGTATCAGTAAGCTCGGCACTGTGTGGAGTATTTGGAGAATGAATCAAACCCTAGCAGCAGCGAGCAGCATCCTGCCCATGTGTTTGCCGCTTTCTCAACCTCAAAGACTTCCCTAGCAACTGCCGTTGAGCTAAGCTGCAGCTGCTTGGCCAACAGCTACCAGGGTGTGTGTGTGTGTGTGTGTGTGTGTGTGTGTGTGTGTGTGTGTGTGTGTGTGTGTGTGTGTGTGTGTGTGTGTGTGTGTGTGTGTGTGTGTGTGTGTGTGTGTGTGTATTCTGAGGTGAAGTGAGGTTTACACCACAACCAGAGAGAGGGAAACTTGCCTCTACAGTCACTCTTCAACGTTTAACTACGTTCAGCACAAAACATACACTAACAGTCAAAAGTTTGGACACATTGTCTCATTCGATTCAATGAGAAAGTGTGTCCAAACTTTTGACTGGTACTGTATTTATCCTTAACTGGACCCCTGGAATGTAATCTGTGCTTACTTTGGAATGTTTTCTGAGTTATCAGTCGATTCCCTATTTTTAAACTCTCACGTAATACGTTTTATTTAGCTCAACTATGCCGAGCTTTTAAACAAACGGCAAATCTCTGTGTGTCCCGTCTCTGTGCTGGAGGAAGCGGGTCGGGCCATTCCACAGCTATTAGCTAGGTGGTGTGTGTACTTAGGGATTCGCTCCGCGGCTGTTTTTGCGGACCCTCATTGTTCGGGAGCAGAGCGATTTTCACGGTTTGCTCGTTAATCATCCCGCTCGCTGCATTCATAACCGTCTGGTACTCCGCTAATGGACTCCAGCACAAGTTGGCACTGATGCCAGGCCGAGCCCCTCCTTCCCCTCCCAGCCCCCCCCCCCTGCCCACTGGTGTCCCGCACGGAGCGGGAAGCGCAGCAGATGCCACCGACTGAGTCATCGGGAAGGGTTCATTGTCTCTGATCGGCTTCTTTTCTGTGAGCTAAAATGTGCAGTAACGAATGTGCACACAGAATAGTGTCACACTTCACAGGTCCTGTGCAAAGTATATGACGTTATGTTGCTTTGGCTCACAAACTTTTTTTTTTGTCTTTACAGAACAGATCAAAGTGTCAGTTAATGATTTTATTATCAAAGCAGCTGCTGTTACACTTAAAGTAAGTATAGTTAACCTATTAATCTTACTGTAATTTCCTACCATAATGTATATTTACAGTGCGCAAGGTTATTCAACTTTTATATCCGTAAGCATCTCGTCTTTTGGAGCTTAACACAGTCTGGGCACACGCAACAGTCTGAAGGTCGCACATCAATTGATTTCAACCTTTGGTGCCAAATTCATATTTTTTCTGCCCAAAGGTCCCTTTGTTGTGCTCGTTGCTAAATGATTCAGATGGTGAATCAACTCGTAGCCAAACCATCGTAAGACGAGACTAAATTTTTACTTCAGAGATTCATGATCATTTTGTTAGACAAAATATGCAGTCTTAATAATTTAGTTATTCCAGCCAGGAATGTCCCTGCCTATCATCTGCTTCACTCACTTATAATGAAATACTGTGTCTGCTTTAGTGAATTTGTGGCCAGAAGCATTAACACATCCGGCCACAAATGACACAGTGAAAGTAATTTGTGTATGAATCGCTGCTATAATAAGCAGGTATTTGCTGCATGTGTCACAGTAAATGTTTCTAATTAACTGGTGTGCACTCGGATGTGTTTTCTGTAAGCAGATAAAACTTTTTGGTGTTCAGAAAAATTCAACAAATGTGTTTTTGTTATTGAGGCTCTAACGCAGCAGATGAATTAAGATCAAGCTCATTCAGATATTATTATCATTAATTTGCTGGCCTAAATAGGGAGTTGATACATTCCCCACCAAATTGATGATGATCTTGGATTTACTATAACAGAGTGTTTTGTTTATTTACTGTCATCACGACCTTAGTGACTAGCACAGTGAACCAAAGCAGAAAGGTCTTAATTGTTACTGTAATCATCCGTCAAAACCTGCGCTGACCTCTGACTTTCTATCCTAGGAGATGCCAGAAGTTAATGTGACCTGGTCTGGGGATGGACCCCGTGCACTTGATTCAATCCACATTTCAGTTGCAGTGGCAACGGACAAAGGCCTCATCACCCCCATCATCAAGGACGCTGCTGACAAAGGAGTCCAGGAGATCTCGGCCAATGTTAAGGTGGAACGAAATATTAGGAACCGTTTTATCATATGATGTTGTGAGCCACCTCGGTGCGAGAGTTTACCTCCCAAAGCCGTCTTTCAACAGTGTGGTGTAGTTTTGTCTTCATTTAAAGCACTTCACACGAATACACAGTGTTGCTGTTCGAAATCTATAAGGGAGTTGAGACTTGACCGCATCCCAATCTGGTTGTAAAACAAATTCTTAAGGTATCTGATCACATCAGCTGGAGGAATGCGTAGATAACTGATTGATTAGTTCGACTATTTGGTTGTTAAGTTGTAGGTCTCGGCTGTTGCTGGCCGCAGATGGAGGACAAAGCCAAAATGGTGAGCTCTTCCTCCAGCTCGCGATGTCTGATTCGACAGCAGGAAGTAACAAAACATGGAAGACTCATGTTTGTTGCAATAAAACTGGAAGATTGCTTCTCTAGCCCAACTACACATTAATAGTAGTTTGCCAAAGTAGTAGTGGAAGAAGTAGCTTTGGTATTTGTGTGTATTTGTCTTTCCGACGGGACCAATTTCAATTTGTGGTAGTTGTTGAGAATACGTGCTGTATTTCCGTGAGTGTTGGTGGGAGGAATGAGTAGTTATGTTTTGATCAGGGATTTAATCAGATTGCACCATTTGCTGTGTTGCATACATCCGTGCAAAACTGATCTTGCAATAGGTGTGATTGCTTCATCCCAAGGGCCGTTTGTCTGGACAAACACTGAAGCACACTGATTGCATAACTGAAAGTTCGAGCAAAACAGTGCGTTTGTGTATCTCAACAACAATTTGATCGATACTGCAAAATACTGCACATACATTCATGATCTCCAGAGGATGAATTGTAATTAACTTGATACCTCCTCTGTGATCCCGCTGACTTATCCTTTGGCATAGACAAACCTTTGAGTGTGGTTGTCTTTATTCACATGGACACAACGGTAGCCATAGTTGTTTCCAATGGGCACATGGATTCTCTTCTATGTCATGCAGAGTGCTTTAATTTATCAGTATATGTATCTTGCATATCATTTTATTCTCTGACCCAAAGCCCAAAGTGTTGTGACTGATGTGTAATGTTTCAATAGGCCCTCGCCCAGAAGGCTCGAGATGGGAAACTTCTACCTGAGGAGTACCAGGGAGGCTCATTCAGGTAACCCCAAAACAAACAGTCTCTTAGTGAAAGTAGAGGGTCAAGGAAAGAAAATTGGTGTGTGTGTGTGTGTGTGTGTGTGTGTGTGTGTGTGTGTGTGTGTGTGTGTGTGTGTGTGTGTGTGTGTGTGTGTGTGTGTGTGTGTGTGTGATATATACACACACAACAAGCTGACATTTTGTTTATGCGAACAGAGGCGCTTTTTATTGATATCTCACAATTTCCGTTGTAGATCAGCAAGTGCGATAGCCTTCATAAATTTCCCCTAGTATGATTGATAGTTTCATAGTCTAATAATATATTATGCATATTCTACATTTCATTTGGGCTTCAACTGAATGTGGTCTCAGGGTGACAAATAGCATCAGTTACAGTACCATCAATTGTGACCCTTTGAGGGGGGGGGGGGGGGGGGGGGGGGGATTTTCAACTCATCAGACCTAACGGTGTCTTAGACATTAATGGGGTTTCTGTGTCAGACAGGAGCGATGCGTTGCTACGGAGACGCAGCCCTCTCTGTCTCTGTGTACGTCCTTCCTGTGATCATTCCTCTATGCCCATGAGCAACCATTCTCATTTAGGCAAACTGCCCGTGGGTCAGTCTTGCACACCCTACACAACATTTAGGGACCTGGAGGCCAGTGATGCTGTAATAATCGGTACTGACCACTGTACTGTTGTGACATAATGTGTTTGCAACCAATCACATTTAATAATAATGGTGCCTAAACGCTTCCTGAACCGTGTTTCTTTTGTTATTGCCAAAGCAAATTTATTTCTTCAAATTGAATACTATATTAACTAAAGTATACTGCAAATATAAATAAATACAAAAAAAGAGATGCTCAATGTGCAGGGACTAAAGATATGTAACCTATCTAAAAGCATTTATGTTGTATTGACGCAGCTTTTTTGTCTCGATTTATTGATGGCATTATTGCAGCAGTTGCAACGCAGAGGAGCTTCATTGTTGAGCATATAGTTTTTCTACTGTTTGAAAGAATTCATTATTTGTATATTTAGTTAACGCTTTGCTGCGTAAAATAAAGACAAAAAAGAACAATCAATCAAACAATCTCCTGCCATTCGCAGTACTAATAATTTCACTGTGTCTGCAGAAGAGCTGCCGCCAATATGGCAGCGGCCTACGGCACCCAACCGTACTTTTGATTGGTGCTGTTAACATGTGCATTGCTTCCTCTTTGGCCCCGCCCCTTTTTCTCACGTCTTTCTCCTTCTCTCTACTGGGCAGTATTTCAAACCTGGGGATGTTCGGCATCAGTGGCTTCAGCGCCGTGATCAACCCTCCCCAGGCCTGCATCCTGGCCATCGGGACCTCCCGGTCTGAACTGCGGCTTTGCGAGGACGACCAGACGTTGAGCACCCAGCAGCTGATGACGGTCACGCTGTCCAGTGACGGGCGGCTGGTGGATGACGAATTGGCCTCGCGGTTTCTCGATAAATTCCGCGGCAACCTAGAACACCCGCAACGCATGGCGCTCGCGTGAGAAGCTAAACGAGGTACAAACGCCTACATGTCTTTGCCTCTATCGTCCTCTCGCAAGCAGAGAGCTCTTACAAAGTGGGTTCCCTCTTGCGTTTTTTCGATTAAGGCTTACACATGTAGACTGGTGCATAGTATGAACTTGTTTTTGTGGCTTGCCTCTGATGGATAATCACCAGGCTTTGTGATAGAGCAGTTAAACTGGGCTTGTGCTCGAGAGGAAGACGATCGTGGGAGTGGAAGTTTTGTGGCAGAATGCGTCTCACATCATTTAATGGTGGCGTTCACAACCCCATATGAAGTGACTATTTCACTTCCATTTATAATTTCCAGTCCCAGTGTATCTAGTCTATGTCACTATTAATACATGTGGCAGTGGCACTGTAAAAAAGAAAAAGCTATTTATCAGTGAAGATCGGTGAATCAGAATCAGTGAATAGCGGTGCCGTTTCCAACAAGGGTCAACCGGGTAAACCATTTACTGTTGTTCAGCTCCTCAACTGTTAATACACGTTAACTTATTTAAACAGATCCTGTGTCATCCCTGACAACTAATCTCTTAAATCCATGTGTATACAAAATAAATGGAATCATGTCAATTTTGTTTTCCTTATATGCCAATAAAACACATTTTTCAACCATGAAATGTCAGTGAGCGTCATTAAAACGTGTGTGTGTGTCATTAGAGTCTAAAAGAGATTACACAATTTCAATGAAGCCAATTAGGATAATTTGCTGGGCTTAGTATACAGGTCAGTCTCTGCTGGCAGATGTTTATCTTGGCTGTAAGCGTGGGAAGAACAGCTGTTTACATATGTAATCACTGCAGTTGGGCAGAGCTTATCCTGAATCTGTGTAATCAGCATTTGTTTTTGTTTTGTTTTTTTAATATGAACACAGAAGCTGCAGAAATGGAGAAAGTTTTATCAGACTTTCGTCGTCTCCACTTAGACCCACATGCTAACCTCAAGCAGCAGTTGCATTGAGAATATGGAGGCGTTTGAGCAGGCAAGCCCTTGCTCTTTAAACACCTCTGAGTTAATGGCTTTTCTCCGGCTTCTTATTCAAAGGATGATATTCTCTACATATTAGTGACCCAACACAAGTTCTGGGTTAAACCACTTTACTTAAACCACTTTATTATGACTCAACAAATCACAAAGTTGTTTGTCAAAGCTTAAAGGGTTTTTGAACACACCAGCACAAAGAAAGCTCATGAGAGTGGTGTAATCACCACATAACAATGTGGAGAAGAGTCATTCATGCAGGTTTTTCTTTTAGTTCTGTCGCACACTACACTCAAACGTCTCCGCTCAGCCTAAAGGCTAACCGCTATCTTCCATTTATCTCTTCTTTGAAAATACATGTGTTACTACTTGGTCAGCCATGCTCATAATCCGCAGAATTCCACAAAATAACTTCACAGATCAACTTGAAATCAGGTGAAAAGCAGAAATTGAAACTGTGAGCTGCCCCACAAGCACATATGTGAGCACATAAGAAATAAGTGCATGGTACACTGTGAGATTCTATTTTTTATCACACTCAAAAGATGCCTGGCTGTTACCCCAGCAACAAGCTAACAGGAAAACAGTCATACATTGCCTGCAGCTAGCTGATGACCACGTGTGATTTGTCTGTCGAAATAGTGATTAGTCGTCTCGTGGTCTTGTGCTATCATTCCGCCTAGTGTCATGAGAGGATTGGGTTGGAACAAAGCCTCCATTTGTCATTTGTATGTAGTTTCCCTAAGGCCTAATATTTGGGATGAAGTGGACGAAAATTCCCAGGGTACTTTTTTTATGGTGAAATAATCTAATAATCTGTTCTATTGGGGTTGTTTAGTAAAGCAGCTATAAAATTCTCTTCCCATATCTTCCCCCAAAACAGATGGTGACATTTCCTCGGCTTACTTGCTACTGTCTGACATTCACTCCTCCTACGGTTTCCCGCCAATCTTCCCCCAGCAATCTTGTAACAGCTGGATAAGAGAGCCACCAAACAGAAGCAATCAGATTAGGTCCCACAGAGGTTTTGATTAACTGTGTGCAGGGTCTTGAAGATAGCGCTGGTGTGTAGGTCAGACTCATGGACACACAGCATGGTGCGGAGAGATGGAGACAGTTGCCATGGAGACCAAAGTGTGCTTCTGTTGTGCTGATATTTGGATGTCCTTCAGATACATCTGACAAAGGTGTTGGCTCTATGTGTGAAGGGTTACAATCATACGTTCTATGAGGGGATGGAAGCATCACCTAACTAGAATATGCATTTCCTGCATAAAATGTGCTGGAATGCTGAAAGCTTAAAACAGAAAAAAGTAATAAATGCTGAAATTGCAGAAATTCTAAAAGCTGAAATGAATTTTAAAAAATAGCTAAAAGTACAGAAATGAAGAAAAAAAATTAAATTGCTAAGAATACAGAAATGAGTAATAATGAAATTTAATTTCCGAAAATTGCTGTAAATACAGAAAGTAAACATAATGGTTAAGGTACAGCTCATTGAGGCTTTTATTCTGAAATGATGGAATTGGCTGACGCACACACACATATTTCCCTCTGTGAACAGGCTTTGTGAATGATCATCAGGGTTGATGAGAGGCTTGCTCTCGTCCACATTATCTCACGCTCAAGTTTGTTCAACCATTGTCAACAGGATTTCCTCTAGTCTCCCCATTTTCCTCTACTACCAGCACTTCTCTATTCATTCGTCACTAGGGATCAACGCCTGCTATAGAATGACCACCACACACTTTCACATCCTCCTTATTGACTAATATTACATTTAGCCCTTATTGTTGTTTCTTAGTAAGGCCGCTTTTTCCACTCAACTTAGGGCGTCCCCTTTTAAGTGGTATTAAAGGAAGCACATGTAAGTAAACCAGAAGTGTGGTTCCCACAAACAGGTCGACCTGGTGTTGAGCGAGAGGAGCGAACCCAGCTGGGGAACGGCTGGCTGTGCGATCCTCTCCAATACTCACTGTGCAAACACGCCGGCGCTGCCGTCCCAGCACCCAAACGCAAGCCGGGCCTTTTTCTTTGTTTTTGTTGTGCAAAGCTCGGCCTTTTGAAGCGGCCCAGCGAAGCTCCTGTGATGCTCCTGCAGCTCACTCAGCCTCAGACACAGCTGGGGTGTGATACATGACCAGGACACACTCCTGACACCCCACCCCTCCCCCCCCAGAGAGCCCTACATACGCGTGCAGCAGACTTGCCTTCGGTACCGTTTACAGAAAGTAGAAATGGGAAGTTGTCAGAAACACATGTCTAATAGGTACCAAGCCTTTGCATGTTTATTTTTTTCCTTTCAAAAGATCAGATTAAAATAGAAAGAGAACTGAGCACCATGTACTTATTCTCATTATGTCTCAACATCTGTTAAAACCCTCATGTTTCACTGGATGTTTGGAAAGGAAATGCTTTGTACGTATATGGGCATCTGGCGTTTTTTTCTGGTCGCAAGTGACTGCCGTGGTTGGGATGTTTGGGAAAAAGGACACGTTAGGTAACAGGAATGCCGAGGAGGGGCTATTAGTCGGCCTTCACCACAAGGATTCCCAACCGTAAGAGCGTCTGGTGAGACCGTGTGCCAGCCCTCACTTAATGAATGTCATGGAGTTTTTTTCCATTGCTGGATTTGTATCGGCTGACTAAGCAGGAGTCAGATGCTTAATTTAGGCTTCAGTCGTGCCCAGTTTGCAGATGTGTAACTGTCTTCTTTGTGCCTGGAACCTTGGTTAACTGGTTGTTGTTGTTTTTTTTTTGTTGTTGTAGTTTTTACTTCTTTCAAAGCCACACCCCACTTAAATGAGACTCAGCTTAGACATCTTTGTACGAACCCTCAAACACGATGAGGTGAATGTGAACAAGTGTATTTCACCTCTACAGACTCATAATGATTGAAAGGGGCCTTCCTACGCGCTTAAGTGTGGGCCGTTCTGGACAGTGTTCATGATCTTCTTTCTGTAAAGACATTTATCTATTACAGAACATGTTAGATATTCACTCAAGAGCGGTTTATCTTTGCAGTGTGATTCAAAGTTGTCTCTCTAGAGACAGAAACTAGGACGGACATTGTCCTGAGATGGAAATGATGTCAGCCCGGGTAATCATTTGTTACTTCACGCTCTCTGGTGTCACACTCTGTTTCTGCCTCTGTCTTGTTTGCTCTATTTTTCACCATTCTATGTGTCAGGATTTCACTTCAACCCTTTTAAAACACTTTTAATTCAGATATAAGTACCTTACATTAGGTTTCTTATGTTGTAAGCCTGCTTGTGTCTTTATTGTGTTTAGATGAACTATAAACAAGTTTCACCATGGCAACAGCTAAAAGAGGAAATGACATATCTTTGTGGTAGAAAGTGTTTATCATTCTGCGTATGTTACGCCTGTCATCAGAAAGGAACATGTGTCTATCTGTGTTTGAAATCATAGCTTTGTGATTTCAACAAGGTGAGATGGCAATTTTCTAACACACACAAGCTTAAAATGAAAATGTTTTGAGCTTGTTGGAATCTTGGAATTAGCATTTAGCTTAAAGCGCGATGTTGCCTACGTTCGGCTTTATTCTACCTCACCTAAAGAAATCTATCTTGGAGTATCAGCCAACTCTGTACATTTTGGATATTCTGTTTGTCCCACTATGCCAAACAGCTGTATTTTATATACACATAGGCTATTGACCTTTACATGATGTGACTTAAGTGCCATGAGGTTGCTGTGTGTAATAATTGGGGGTGGATGGTTGTCATGGAAGTCAGAAAATGAAGGACAAGGAGTCACATATTCTGTGTACAGATGCAGTACCGGTCAGTTGTGTCCAAACGTTTGACTGGTGCTGTGTGAGTCATCGGGGGGAGACCTGTTCAAAGACCTGAACAACTCCAGCCCCTCACCTGCAGTGGATTGTCAAACGAATGTTAGACAGATTGTTCTAGGAAACCTCTGACGAACAGGTATTTCTCTATGAAACGTGACATCTTTCAGTCGTGGGGACGGGATCCCACTGACACGCGGGACAAAGACGGCGAGAGCGCAAAGGGAGCAGTGACAAGGAAAAAGAATTGAAAACGGAGTGAGAAGTGAACAAAAGACCAGATGGGCTCTCAGAAACTGTTGCTGTCAGGGAGATAAAAAGAGGAGGAGAGGGCGGGGAGGATAAGCAGCCAGAGAGAGAGAGAGAGAGAGAGAGAGATCAACTTCTTCTCAGCCATTAATAAATGTAGGGGACAGGAAGAGAGCGAGCTGGCGGGGCTGAGGCGGGAACAGGGAGGGGAGGTGGGGCGAGTGCGGAAGAGACAGAAGTGTGTGTGCTCACATGAGCCGCTCTTGCCCTTCTGCGCGTGTGCCACTAGTCTGTGTGTCTTTGAGGCAAAGAATAGAAAAGTTAGGGCAAAGTCTGAGTCAGCTCAAACAGCCACTAGACACTCGCAGCAACAACTGCGGTCCCAGTGAGCAGGTTTCTCCCCTCGTTTTCTTTTCTTTTTTTTCCCCCACTGCTCTCTGTCATTCTCTCTCTCTTTCTCTCTCACACACACACACAAAAAACACACACCACAACCACCACCCGTCACTCCTGGCAGAAGGAAGACAGGACCACAGGAGAATTGTTGCACACCTTCACTAACCAGCGACTCACCCGGCCACCAACAGACCCTTTGACCAGGATGTGGACGCTTGTCTTGGGGGTCACCTTTGGATTATTGGCCTCCTACGGGTCGGAAGATATTCCAGGTGAGGGGACTGTGCTTTTTCCTCAGTGGATGGCTCTTTGTTTAAAGATATTTAAATTGAGATATATATATATCTTTTTTTTTATTGTGTTTAAATTTTGCCCTGCTGGCCGGCTGGTAATACTTCTTTGTGTGTTACTCCATCTTGGTCCTTGTGGATGGAGGATGAGGGAACGTACGTGTGGAGAGGAGACATTGACAGAGACAGAGACTGTGCCCGGCCGCTGAGCACAGTCTAACGGATGAGTGGACGCCGGCTAGAGAGCTCGGTGCTGCGGCGGCACAGACGCGTCTTACGTCTGGCAGTCTGAGAATCCTGACAGACACAAAGGAGACAGGCGCTCCGGGTCGCTCACACACATGCCGGGGAAACCGTATTTGTCAGGATTTTGATTGATTCATGTTTATTTTTCACAATCTTTTTAAGTAAAAGCAGAAATGGGGGCTTTTCAATTTTTTTTGTTCCTATTCTTTGCTGAAATCTGCCACCACGCTTAAATGCTTCATCCTCTGACACAAAGGATGTTCAGCAATTGCTCCGGAGTCCTACCCCCCCCCCCCCCCCCATCCCTAAGTCTCCCTCGGTTCTCTTTGTGTCTCACTCGTGCGTTTTCTGCTAAAGGTTTTGATTGGATTTGTTGCTCAAAGCAATATATCTCTGGAGAGTAAACTGGTGGTGAATCTAACAGGTCGAGTATCGTCTGGCTCCTTCCCTGAGGAGGCGGCGGTGGAGGAGGAGGTGTTCACAAAGACTCCCCGTGGCACTGCGCCAAAGAACAATCAGCATCCAACTGTATATTTGATCAGTATTTAAAGGCAAATAAGAGACGGCCCAAACATCCTGTCGGTGCACTGTGTGTGGGACGAGGAGAGGGGGAGAATGGGGAAGCTTCCCCTTCTTCCAGAGGAGCTAAAAGCTTTTGTTTGTGTACTTGTGTGTTTGTGTGTGGTGTCCAAATGAAAATGTTGAGAGTAGTTGGTGTTTGTGCTAGAGGGGCCCGGCGGTGGCCGTCCTGCTGCAGACATTTTACCATTAAAACCTCGAACCTTTGTCCAAATTGCAGAATTAAGAGAAGAGGCTCATGGACTCGTGGCTGGCATGTAACCAAGATGAGTTATTTATGATGTCACCTGTCTGCTCACTTACAGTAGCTTTGAGCACCCGGGATTCCAGTTTTGCAGAAAGAAATTGAATTTGAGTGTAGATCCAGTGGTTGCCAGTAGTTGATTAAAATTAATTTTATCCATTGAAATTCATACATAACTGTATGACCCCGTCATGAGTGCGTCAGGAGTGTGTTTAAAACACAATTTAGGATGGTTTAAATGTATTGCTTAATCCAATAAAAAATCGGCCAAAGGTTGCTTGGCAAGATTTCTTGAAATAAGATGCTGTATTTAAAACTTTTCAAGATTACAACAGATCTGCTTAATGATGTTATGAGCCATATTTCACCAGTACGGTGTGCGTTCCATGTGTTGAGTTTAATGACGAGCCTGTAAAGCCCATTTGAAGATATTGTATATTCAAAGTGCATTGCTTAAAAACAACTCCATCTAACACAGAAATGTTAGTTTTTAGGCGCCAGTATCTTCTATACACTCAACCAAAACTTTATCTGACGTGTTTGTGCTGATAACAGCCCTGCTTCCTCATGCAGTGAATCACTCCGTCTTTGAATATTCACACACACACACACACACACACACACACATGCACACGCAGAAACTCATGTGCATGCAACAAGGCCAGCCTGGACAAATGTGGCTGTATTTGCCTCCTTGTCATCGCAACCAATCCTGCATGAGCACGTGTCATGTTTCAAGGTGAGGGGGCGGCCAGGGGACCTGTGCACATGGACCGGGCCCTGACAAAGAGGGCTTGTGCTTGTGCAGGTCTGAGCGCCATATCCTGCCACCTGAAACTCTCAGGCACGTGTTTGCCTTCTCTCGCAACGTACCCTCCTCGGCAAATAAACCACCCTGAAGCCAAATGGCCCTTCACCAATGTCTTATATAACCGCTTTGATTTCAGATTTCATTACCCAGTTCTTTTGACACTTACTGAACTGGTCTTGAATTCCAGTTTTTGTCCATCAGTCTGAATGAACATTTTTAAAACCATCATGTCAATTCCTAAACTCACTGAGAATGAAACTGAAATTTTGTGTTGGATCTTCACTATAGAAAAAATAGTATGTTCACACATGATAGTACTAAGAACTTTTTTTCAAAAGGGTGTTTTACTACGTCCGGTTAAAGGCGTCTTTATCTTCAAGCGTGACCGTCTGAAAAGCAAGTTGGAGGTCACGTTTCTTATCACGGATTATCTATTTGGATTTGTTCAAACCGTATGTTTAGTTGCGACGGCACTATTCCTAGTGGCAAATGAATATAAGCGAACCTGCCTGTTCTATTGAAATAAGATACTGCTTTCAAAGTGCAGACGGAGGCGGAAGGAGAGAAAAGGTGTGAAAGGATATGAAACATTTGAAAAAAAAAAAAAAAATCATGTCAGCCCTGTGAGGCGGGGGACTTAAAATCTAATAAAAAATAAGATACATTTATAAAAAGGTACCAGCAACGCCACCTAGTTGCGGAGTCTAGGTCTCCATAAAACAGGTTCTTGTTCACCAGAGGAAGAACAGCATGGATCACAAGACTTAAAAGCGTGGTTTAAAAGGAGGATTTTATTATTAACTAAAAACCCATAAATAACTACAATATTAAAAGTCCAGCTGGAACAAGGTACTAAAAGGATTTACGAATTCGACCAGCCACTGCTGCTGGTCGGTCTTGCCCTTTCTTCTTGTTTCCGGTTCCGTTCCTTTCCTGGGTGAGATGTCCAGTCCGTTTCGTTCCTCTCCCCGTTGCACCCTGCCTGCTCGTCCGTTGTCTGGCCGCCCTCTCGCTCGATTTCCCGTGGCTTCTCCTGCCCGTGGCTTCTCCTGCCCATGGCCTTCCTTCCTGTGGCTCCCCTCCTGGGGCCTTTATAGCAGCTGTGTTAATTGGAGAGGGGAGGTCCTTTCATTGTGTAATGTAGTTGGCCAGGGCTCTCTGTAATTGATTAGTCCCTCCAGGTGCATGTAATTTACTGAAAGGTGGGTTAATATGTAAAAAATGTAATAAAACAAACCATGCAAAAATGTAATAAAACAAACCACGCTAAAATGTAAAAACAAGCCATGCTAAAATGTAAAAACAAGCCATGCTAAAACGCAAAAACAATAATTTACAGAAACCACAATGTCCCCCTGGTGACAATCAGATAGCGACTCCTTCTTGTGACCTTCAGGTGATGTTGGTTGGTAACTGTTGTGCCACCCGTCACTCTGGCCCATTGGACTTATGTTGTGACCATTAGAGGAGAAAAAAAAACACATACCTGCTGACAGAGCGACTCCACTCAAGTGTGATAATGCAGGACAGTGGGGCATTGTGGGAGTGATGGTCCCGCCCCAAACCAGCTGATGAACCGTGGCTAAAAGGATGTTACAGTAGTAGTGGGATCTCAGCTTCACAAAACACCATTTGTCCTCGCATGTAATCCCTGCGTGATGTTATCTGCCACGTCAGTGACAAACATTTTCAGCGACATGTAGAGAAAGACAAGAAAAAGGCCGACAATTTATCTGAGCACATTGTGTTCGACGTCTCACATCCTTTTGCCGGGGCTCTGCTGAGGAAATAATCAGCCAACGTTCAAGTGCAAGGGTGCATCTGCAAGATGCCTGTGTGTGTTTGAGCATCTGCATGCGGGGGGTGAAGGGGGGGGGATTTGTACTTTATTGCTGGCACGGAAAAGACAAACAGAACATGGAGCGAGAGCGGAAAATCTGGCCCGTCTTTTGCTCCTCGAGGTTTTGGCAGGACGTCGTATTCGATCTTTCTTTTCCCCCGGGTTCTGTACACCCAGACGCCGTGGTATCCTTGGTTTCAAGCCTGCTTTAGGTGACAATGGAGCCTTTGGGATCGCCAGTGCCTTGGCGTAGCAGGCTTTATAAACTTTATAAAGACACCCCTGGCTGTTCCCTCTGCATACTAATGTGCGCGCCTATGATTCATGTCAGCCGCCTTTTCAGCTCACTGATGGTGAGCCGGACTCCCTTTGATCCCTCCGGGCAGGTTTGGAGGGCCAGTAGTGCTGTTGTCTTGTTTCGGACCCTTTTTCTTCCAGGGGCTCTGTGGCATGTGGCAGCATGTGTTGAGGCAGCCTCAGTTTGTGTCTGTGTGTGTGTGTGTGTGTGTGTGTGTGTGTGCGCGCAGGAGAACGGAGAGGGGGAAAAAACTGAAAGAGCCACTACCAAGCAAAGAGCTTATCTTCCTGCTGTTGCTGGAGCCCTGTTTACTCATAACAGCAAGTGTAAAGTGTAAAAAGTTGAGGGGAGGGACTTTTTTCACTCTCGTCTGGCCTGTTTAGAAGTCAGCTTTCTTCTCCTCAAGGGTAAAAACACAGCCGCAGTACAAAATAATGATTTTTTAAAAGCTTCACTTCCAAGTAGCCTCTGAAGGGGAAAACCAGATCAGTTTCCATTGACCTTTTAAAACTAATGAGTATTAGTATTTATTTTCAACGCGGTAGTCAATTCACGATGTAGCCACGAATCAGTTGGTGGTTAAGCAGTGTCCCTTCCTCTTTGCTGAGGCGTTATTTTTATATAAGAGAAAGATCATTTCTGACTATAATTTAGTTCAGTGCCCCTGAAAGATTTCTTCAAGTCATTTGTCATCTTTATTTTCTGTTTTCCTCAAACTGTGAGACAGACTTCAGATTGGAAAACAGTGGAGCGCTACTAACTTATTAATTATGCTTTGTTGCTATAACCTGCTACACACACACAAGTTTTTTTCATTCCTGGGTGATTTAGCGTTTCACATCCAGTGCATCCGTTTGAACTATCACCAAAGATAGTGAGGCATTCAAAAGTACAAGTTCCTCTTCTGCACCACCAACTGAACTTGTTGAGCATCTTGCAGCACAAGATCTTCTTGAGTGCCGTTTTTCAGCACATACGTTTCCTTCTCAAGGGTTGATAACACATCAAAGGACTTCTTCCATGTCGCAAGACATCTTATGGGTTTGTACATATTGGAGATGATTTGCTCTGTAAAATAGCTTTCAATTAACTTCAACAGGAATCCTTGTGAGCTAAATAGTTTTTTCCAGGAAAGGGCGATGTAAAGATCGCGAGTCAGAGTCACAGGAAAATGTTTACAGATTACGGGGTGTGCGTTCCATCTTGTGGGACTCTTGCCAGGTGGTCGGTCTCTCTCTCGCTCTCCTTTTCAATGCAAATGATCATCTGCTCCTGTTGAAACGAGTGAATGTGTTTTCTGTCAGGAAATAATGCATTGAAAAAAAAAAAAAGTCCAACCAACTGCATCCGTATCTTCACCAACCCGGTTGTAAATATGTTCTGAGCTATAGAGCTTAAGAAATTAACTTTTTTAATTGTTTTTAGTTGTTCTTGCCTGACCAGTACAATTCTCATCTCATCATGAAATATTGGAATCCGTCCGAGGCTGTAGTCCTCAGTCTGGCGTTCACTGGTACTGGCTGAAATCCTTTGGACGGAACATTTCAAGTGCTGCAGTAAACACAAGAACACAAGAAACGACGGACTCTGCAACACTGAACATGCTGCCTTTCCTTTCTCTTTCACTACAGTGACTTCCCGCAGCTGCAGCTATGGCGGGGTGTTTCTGGTCCAGGGAGCGACCCGCCACTCTCTGAACTTTGAGGCGGCTCGAAATGTGTGCGTCCAGCTGGAGAGCGTCCTGGCGAGTGAAGCACAAGTCAAGAAGGCCTATGATAAGAAGATGGAAACATGCAGGTGAAACCACAGTCCTTTGTTTAAGAGTCAACTTGTAAAAACAAGAAAGCCTGCTTGCTGAATACTAAGTACGTTGTGAAGCTGTAACACCTTAAAGAATTACAGGATATTGATGATGTTGCATTTATGGACCCCCATATTCTCAAGATCTTGCCATTAACATGACTCTCTCACACCCTTAAACATTTAAACCTTTAGTTCAGTCTTAGAAAAGACTTCTCGTAAACAGACATGTTTATTAAACACATAATAAATTACTTTAAATGAACTTAGTTTCCATTATGAGGCTTCATCTAGAGTTTTAAAGCCAATAAAAAATAACAATGTCTCATCAATATTGAATGTCTCAAAATGGATCACTAACTTTGTCAAATATGTTTTCTAATAATGATAAAAAAAACACTATTGTTTTGTCCTTTCAGAAACGGCTGGACCAACAATATGACCATTGCCATACTCAGACACTCACACCATGCAAACTGTGCACAGAACGCGACGGGCTTCTTTATTCAACAACAACAACAACAAGACCTGTATGATGCATACTGCTTCGATGAACATGGTGACTAAGTCCACAGGAAACAGTTACAATTAATATGTGCCGTTCATAATAAACTGACCCTTTTTGGTAACATCCACTTCCTGTTCCCCATGTTCCAGCTGGGCCTGAGAAGAACTGTACGAAAGAATTCGTACTAAAACCAGGTTAGTACAATACATGCAAACTCCCCCCAGAAAGGTGATGGGCTGACCACCACACCAACGTGTCGCCCCGTTTATTGTACAAGACGTCAACTGAAAACATGAAATTGGATCATATTTGGCATCCACCCAGGAATTCCACAGGAACAGATTTCTCTCTGGTTAAGTCAGCAGCTGACCTCTTAGCTCCTAGAAATGTTACTTGAGGGCGGATATGGACCTAAATCGTCTTTGGCTGAAGTAGAGGAAGGCAGCTGGGTGAGGATGCGTATTACAACAGGGCTTAGTTTCACAACACTGTGGTTCCTCTTCCCCTTTTTTGAAAAGCGCGTAACTACGACCATGGCTGTCGTAGCAATTAACAAGGCCTCATCGCAGGTTCTCAAGTTGTGTGTTGTCCTACGGAGCAATATCGGAATTATAGATGGGGATTTGTGAATGCATGATGAAAAAAAAGGGTCCTGATATTGTGAATACATAGAAATAATAAACACGGATTCAATAGTGGCCTTTGAAAACTCAAACCGGGTCCTTTGTTCACAAAAAGAAAGCTCCCAGTCAAAATGCAAAATATGATTTTGACACTATGTTTTGATTATTGGTGTAAGTGCAGCATGCATGGATGCTGGGTATTCATACAGCACCTGCAAAATGCACTTTCTTTAATTGCTCTCTCTGATTGTACTGTTTGACGAGACATTCCTCCGTAATTTTGCTTCAACGGTATAATAAGTATTATACTGTAACATTGTACAGGGGATTATCTGAGTATAATACAATGATAAACTCAACTCAACACACACTTTTGTGTGCATGTGCTTTACATTATTATTATATCGTTATAAAAAGAGTTGAAAAGTGCAACTTTAAAGAGTTGAAATCCTAGAGGACAACGCTACCACTGTAGACAGATGTCCAGATTGGCACCGCCATGGGTATAAACCACACATGAACCTCTTTATTCTCCAATCAGCTGAGCCCTCATCACAGCCAGAGGACCCAACAATAACAGGAAGCCAGGAAGAAATCACCTCAGCAACCGAACCAGTGGATGTGTATGAAAAGTACACAGTCAGTCAAAACACAGAGACCCCGGCCACCTCGGAGACCCCGGCAGTGAAAGAAAACCCCTCTGGAGGGAGTGACAACAGCAGTAACGGGTCCACACTCACTACGTGGGACGACCAGACCGCTGGCTCCGGGGCGATGGCTACCACCTCGGAGGAAGCCCCCCCGCCGACTGAAACACAAACTCCTACTGACAACGATCAAACGAAAGAAACCGTAACAATAGGTAAGAAAAACACGAGCAGAACCAACACATAACTTGTAAAAATGAAAGCGCAATTAGTACAACAAAGCATTTGGGGAATGCAATTGGGTTCAGATGCATTAAAAATCTCTTGGTGCTTGTAACGTTCACAATTAACTCTAACGAGAGAATTAGTGCTGCTCTGCAGTAATGTTTGGTTTGCTTTGTTTTGTCTCCTGAGCACATCCAAAATATTTAGCATGTTAAATGCAGATTATTGAGTTCATTTTGATTCACAATGCATGGAAACATTTCTGAAGAAGAGCACATCCCGGCAACAGATGCAACAGGTTGTAGGTGGACTGAAGTCACTTTAGGAACACATGACGCCCCCTTGTGTTAGGTTGAGCTGTAGAGTGGATTCATGACACGGGCTTCATTGATTGTGTTTCTTTATGTTGCGAGAATTAATCGGTCAGCGCATTTCACAAACACATAAAATGCTCTAGAGTATGTATTTTTGTATTGTATTTCATATGTATTTCTTCAAAAAATTCACTTTAAAACAAATTGTTTAGTCATAATGTAGCTTCCATGATGCTGCAGTCAGTCCATCAAAAAGACAGAAACATGCATTCTCGTTTTAAAGCAATATAACGGAAAATACAACTCTGTGATTGAGCCAAAAGCACAATATTCCATCTTTTGTGTTTAGGAATGCTTTATGAATGCTTTTGATTTGTTTTTTTGACATGCAGTTCCACAACAGCCACCTAAAGGCGAAGGACGTGTCCTGGCTCCGAGTGGTGTACCGGATCAACAGGAAGGCAGTTCAGCGAGTGAGTATCCACATTCCCCGATATAGCCGATAGTGATGCAGTCAAATGTGATCATGTTGCGAAAAGTAAACCTTTTACTGAGTGAGCTTCAATATTGTCAACTCACGACTTGTTATTTCTCCTTCTAGACTGGCTCGTTATCATTGCAGTGATTGCGGCCGTCGCCGTTATTCTTCTCGTGTGCGCAGTCATTGCCATGAGAAAGAGGTATGAATTTGATTTTTATTTTTCTTCATCCTGCACTAATAGAGCTATCATGTCAAATGTCACCTGTGCACAGTATTTAATAGTATATAATCCTACTGTATATATACTGTAATAACTAACTGTGTCTGAATGTTCTCTTCCAGCAAAACGCAGACCCTGAACATCACATCCAAAAACGGTGGCGAGGGAAATGGGGCCGCGGCATCCGCCTCCGGCTCCCACGCCCAGGAGAGAGAGCAGGAAATGGTGACCCTCATGAACAAGGAGAAGATCCAGGAGAACGGCGCCACAGAGGAGTTCACCGTCATCACGCTGGAGGAGTCGCCAGAGAAAGAACAGCTGGCGTGAGAGAAACGGGTAGTAGGAGAGTCAGTGGGGATAGGCAGGGTGAGAGGGAGGAGATGGTCAGGAGATCGGACGGATAGGGGCCCCAAACAACACACTGGGGTGAGAAACTCCTCTAGTGGCCAGGCACCAGAGAAAGATTGTCTGACCGAGGTTCTGTTGTACTGGGTCTGCAGGGTCTTTAAACCCGACGTGTGCTTCATTGTGTTAGTCTGGAATGCCAGCTTAGCCAGGACCGAACGGCGGTCAAAGGGCATCAGGCGTGGTGCAGGGCGGTGCGTTGATGTGGCGAAAGGGGCGTGAATGTGTTTCGTGTCAGCTTGTACGCTTTGTTGATGATCATGCGTTTTCAGGGGAGGGGTAATGGGGTTCTAATTTGGGAATAACATTGATGATGATGAAATCATTGTCTTTTTTACAATTGTTTCATCCTAAATGACAGATGATAAGACAATGATGAGAACTGGGTTATTATGTTTGAGATACTGCGCATAGAAAAAAAATCATAATTTTGAGCAAAGCAACCTTGTTTTACATGTTTTACATGACCGCTTTGTTTTGTTTGCTTATTGTTGTAACCGTGTGTATGTTTTTAGACATTTCCTGTGGACTGGAGTTTTACATTTTCAAGATGTTTGGGGATGTCATTGCCTTAATGTGTGCAGCTTTGAATCCCTTTTTTCTTAGCTTCTGTATATAAAGTATACTGTATGTTTTTGGAAATGCCTTAGCAATAGCTGCCAGTGCTGTTTGTAGGTTGCTAGAAAGGGGCTTTTCATCCCTTTTTAAATAAAAGAATGTCATTATGGAGGGTTATTTAATTAGAAGACAGTACTTCCAAAGTACATTTTGTAAATTTATTTATTTATTTAGATTTTTTATCAATCACCTTGACGTATAGCATCCAAAACTGTGCACTTGATGCACCACTGAAGTCAGTTTACTATGGTATACATTGTATTGGGTTGGGAATAATGAGCAAATCCCAAATGTTAGGAAAGGTAGCATTATAAATATGACGTATACATACTATATACACAATGTGTACATTGATTAAGGAAAAATTAAGTGAGTGACAGCCGCCCTGCTTTAGATGACAAACTACAGGGGCCTATGCCAATGTCTGTGAGTTTAACACATACCAATATAAAGGTTTCTTCACAGAGAACAGGGGTGTGACAATGTTGTCTCCGTGAGGAATTGTGTGACGAAAGAAGCTTGTGTGCTTGCCGAGGCCCCAATGTGCCAGTTGTTGTGCGTTTCCCTCATGTAAACAAAAATAATGCCGTTTTTTACTGTCCTCATTGGTGAGACACATCAATGTCTCATCAATATTGTTCCCTTTGGGATAGCTAAATATTTCTGGTTCAGCATGGACACGCAGACTTACATACAGCAATAGCAAAAATAACTTCTTTTTTTTCTTCATATTTGCTCTCATGATTCCTTTTGCGAAGTAGCAAATGTTCTTGTCTAGGCAGGCTTTATCACAAATTAACAAAAGATGTCGCTGAAAAGATTTGTAATAGGACTGCCAAAAATAAATGTGCAAACAAAAAGATTTGTGTGTGCGCTCCATAATTGTAATGTTTAAGACAAAAGGGAGTGAATGAATGACATGAGAGTGGGATGAGAGTGGGTACATTTCCCCACATGAGGAGCACGGTTTCCATGGCACCAGGGTCGTGTTGTGAGAATATGTTTAATCAGGAAACAAAGATTGAGATGAGGACAGATATAAGATATAAATTTCATTCCTTAAAACAGTGTTAAACATAGTCAACGACTTTGTATGTCATTCTATACTTTGACATATTGGTGGAATTCTACATTATAAAACCCCCCCCAAAAAAGTGGAATATAAAACAATGATCACATACGGAGTCAGAGCAGGTTGGTGGTCAAATCAATTTATGTACTATACGGTTCAATGACTTTACCTTGAGGTCGTGCGATCGCCTACTTTCCTGCTGATCACCGATGAAAAAGTTCAATTGTGAATAACAAATTAGGAAAGTGAGTCTTGAGGCAAAGCAACAACAGCCTACCAGAATGAATCAGAAGTCTAAAACATCTCTAAACAGTGAAAACGAGTTCACGCGTTTAAAGTACAGGTGCTGCAAAGAAACAGATGACGAACCCGACGACCCGAAGGAGCTAAATTCACCTATTCTTCAACCATGGCAGGATGCTGCACACCACATCTGTGTCCAGCAGCTCAGCCTGATCTGCCTCTTCTCTGAACTTGTATTCCAACTGTGAAGGATTGTAACCGGAGGATCGAGAGCACGACTCTGGAACCGAGGTCAAAGTCAAGGTTCCATGACAAACTCTACCATGATACCTTCAGGTGTATAAACATATTTAAAATAACATGATAAAATCTTTTGACCATTTTTGGTATTTGTGGTTGGATTAACATTAGAATTGCATTACTGTGTCAATTTATTGGTTTACTTGTACTATGGCTTACTTACTTACGTACAAATTTACTTGTTGAAATAATATTTCACTTTGTATAATGTTAATTGTAGCATACTTTACGATAACATTGGCTATATATTGTGACATTTCTAATGACGCTAAATTATGCTATACCATTATACATTTTATAATGTATAATAAAGATATTTTTGGTATACTCCACTATGACTTTTTCTCAATTATTTCATGGCATACCATACAATGACATGATGGTGATTTGTGGTTGAAATCAAAGCATTTTAAAGTATTAAGATTATATTTCTACATCATTAAAATGTTCTATAATTACTTATATCTTCACTGATTGTTGGGATGAAGCATACAAGACTATTGCTTGACTGACTGGTGTTTTTATAACAGCAAGCAAATGACAGAGGCAGAAAACTGTGTGTGTGTGACAGTTATGAAACAAGATATAAAAAAAGAAAATCAAAAACAGAAGACCAACATTTAGTTATGAATCAACGTTTATTAGTTATATTTGTATATGTACACCAAAGGTACGACACTTATTGATATGTAGGAACAGTTTATTATGTATACCATAGACCGAGGAAAGCATTCATGTATTTTTTTGTCATTTTTTGTCGATAGTGTATCTCCCCCACAACAGACGCTCTGCCTTGACATCAAAATTGCAACAGCTTTACAAAGAGGAAAGGCCTAGAAAAGTAAGATCAGGAAAGCAGTATGTTGGCAGGAGTATAACAGGTTAGCAGCTCTGTTTCTTCCAAAAGACACATTTCTGTAGAAAAGAACAAGATTGAAGATAAACTAGCTCTTTGTTTGAAATACTGTAGTCAATCAAATCCCATTTCATCAGTGCTATTTAACCCCAGTTCCAGGTGTTTGTTAGTGCATATAGTTTCTGTAGACAGCAAAAAAAAAGGCAAGTGGAGTAAAGGCAGTTTACCAGGTGGGATTTCTAAAAATGTCAATGCTGTTGATATCACATCGTCGAATGTGTGTGAAGACGTGACGTCAGACAAGTTAATGCAGAATGTAAATGTTGCAGCTTTAAATGCACAAGCACCAGGTAAACACAGATGCCCATTAGACTAAAGCCAGTTTGCTTCGTTGAAAAGACAAAATGGTTCAGATGAGTTACCTGAGGAGTGTTGCTCTCTACTGTAACAGTCGTCTGACCGCATCAAATGTTGTTGTATCTTTCACTCGAACCAACCGCTGGGCTGTGCTTCTTTTCCTCACTGTATCCTACATACAGCAACCTTTATCAGAGTACTACCGACCAAAATATATCTCATGTGGCCCCCTTTTAGTTAAGCCAAGAACTTCCCCTCGCTCTCTGTCCGTCTCTCTCTTTCTCGCTCTGTTTCCTTCTCAAACAGCATTTACTTCGGGACCACTGTCATTTCGCCACTGAACAGAACAATTATATATTTATTTATGTACAATGAAAACTAATGCACATTGCTTATATCTTCATGAACAATCATTCAAACTCTTACATTAGATTAAAAAAGATATTTATATATTTGTGTGTGACAGGTAAGTAAAACATCTACTTTAACAACTACAAGAGAACAGAAAAACAAGCAAGTTATTACACCATTTTCTCTCTATACATATTGTCTAATCTAATTTTACCCAGGACATATATGATATATTTCTTTCTATGGGATTACATTTAAAATGTCACAGCTATATTCCTATTTACCATTTCCACGCCCCCCCAAAAGAAATCAAAAGGATAGAACACAAACAAACAAAAAACATCTGTTACCTACAATATATACACAAAGTGCAAGGAGGCACTTCAAAATATCATGCTTTTAAGATAGTGGTGCAAAAAATAATCATTTTTTTTATTTTATATTCATGCTTCTAAACCGTGAGTTTGAACATAATAATCTTCCAACACTCGATCTCCATCGATGATACTATGATCTCTGTTTTTGTTTATTTTTTCCTGAAGATCACAAGGTTGAAGGATCAGGCTCGGACGGGTCTGATTACAATTAGAAATCTAGTCACCTTCCAGGTCGAGGAGTGTTTGCATGTGTGTTTATATGTGTGCATTTAAAAAACATGGGCGCATGTGTGTGTGTCTGTGTGCATCCTTGTTTTTCATGTGTAGCGTAAGTCTGTGCTGCGTTACGGCAGAACACCAAGCGCACTCTTTGTTGTCTCAAAGCACACTTGAAAAATACAGTTGAAAGACGTCGTCTGAAAGTGTGTTTTCACAAACTAAAAGACATCGTGCTGTGCTAACAGTTTTGTTAGTGTTACTCCTATTGGCATTTGTTGTTTGTTTTGCGTGAACATCTTCAAGGCAAGGTTGTCTTTTAGCTCAAATGAGAAGAAACAAGACGTGAAAGAAGGACGTAATATCGCTAAAGAAGTCAAATCAATCCACGGGCCACATTACAGACGTCTCACCTCTCACTCGTGCAGGCTAAAAAAGATTAACAGCCAGGAGTCCAGCTGTGTTTCTGTGTGTTCTATGATAGGAGTTTATACTGGATACCTGATAGTTGGCAACATTCTGGTATAATGTAAATGAAACGTCCATTGTCCTAAAAATGCTTTTGAACCCATATGGACACGCGGCTGCAGCATCTAGGGTTTGTGGAAACAGTCTTGAGCTCCGGTGGCTAAAAGGATATTGTTGTTTGGCTTTCGTCGGGTCCGGCCAAACAAAAAGCTGGCAAGCCTCCTGGAAAGTGTTGTATCAGCGTCATTGTTTGTGCAAGCCATGAATCCGTCTGTCAGCCAAAAGTGCACTACTTCTTATTTTGCTTCTTTTCCTGCCTTATAAATATCCCGGTCTCTGTCAGTAGTAGTGACTGTGCTTTCACAGAGTACGCAGGTTGAGGATCATTCAATCGCTGGAAAATGTATGTGTGCTTCCTGTATGTTGTCTCTCACAAAGACATTTGTTAAGTTTTCACTCGGAATACGATCAGTGTTGACATGAAACGACAAAGTGCCACTAACTGAAAATGATCCTCATTGGCTTTACTTGTGCTCTATAATTGCATTTGTGCTCTCTGTCGTCTCTTTACTGTGCAACAAATTATTCACATTTGTAAATAATTCATCGTTGTCGTTTTTCTTTCTTTTTTACAACAATCCCTTTGGCGCCTAATTTCCTTTTAATTTCATTGGCATCACAACATCTTTTTCATGTGGAAGAGAAAGTATGAGGTTTCATTTTTAGGGAAGTGATTTTCTTAGCTTTGAGGCGTCTACAGGAACTGTGGTAATATCCACTGCTTTGCGAGTTATTCATGGACTTGTTGATTGATATTTTTTTTGCCTGTTTGGTCCCTATACTCAAGTTGATCATGTTCTTAACTCCATCTCTCCCTGTTTCACACACACAGACGCACACTCACACACGCACACACTCACAATATTTACACCTCACTCAACAGGTTACATGAGGACAAATATGTTTCTCACCTTTACAGCAGAAAAAAAGAGAAACAAAAGGGGATACAACACAATGGCGACACCTGTACGATTTGTGCTTTAAAATTCCACGGTCACAGGTTGTGTCTCAGCCTGTGCCTCCCACCCTTTCATCTGTTTTCTGGAAAGTCAGCTGACAGAGCGACAGTTAGAGAATCAAAAGTGAGGTTTTCGTATCAGAGACTGAGTCGATAGGGAAAGTCAGTGGCATCATGCGCACCTTTCAATGGGTGAAAATTCAAGCCAGTTCAGTCCAAAGATTACGTTTGTTGTCATAATTAATGCTGAAACTTCCCGTCTCATCTTAAAACATCTCTCATAAATGTGAGACTAGGATATATTCCTAGACTTGGCCTATATAACCTTCCTCTCTTATCTTTTCCTTCCCAAACCTTGAAGTATGTTGTGCAAGTATCTGCTACAAGGACATAATTGTGCTCTAACAGGTCTAGTACACCTCTGTTATCATTTCACGTGAATTAAGTGAATTAGTATTATAAATCAGTCAGATAGACAGTTACAAATACTTTAAAAGGGACTAATAAAAACAAACTACATAAAAAACAGTTAGTAGTTCTGTTCGTGTGACTTTTTTTCATTCACTCTTTTTTTTTTCACCAGATAGGAAAGCTTGTGGAGCCC